ATTCTGTTTTCATTAGTGGAAATCCTTACCTCTTAAATATGAATGCTTTATTTGAAAATACTGTATTTGCAAACTTGCAAAGCCCACCAGAGAAGGCAGTTCTAAATACCATGTGGAAATTTTGCATAGAAATGAATGCTGTTAATTTCAGATTTTATTTTTAAGTGGTATCTAAATGATATCAGGAAGAGCTGAGTTGTTCTTTCTGTCTGGGTTTTGATGGAGTGCTTCATCATATTGAATAATTTTGTCAATTCAGAAGTTAGTTTAATAAGAATTTTTGTATTGTATTTCCAAATGCTGTACTGTGTGCCAGAAATTATGTTGAATTTCACCCAGCGAGAGATGAAAAATAATTTCCTATTTAAGCAACGTGGAGAGGGGCACTTTGGTTTGAGTTTTTTATTCCCCTCTTTAGAGATGATGCAACAAATTTATACATGGAATAGAGGTACAGGATGGGACTCACATTAATGTTCCATTAGTGTTGCTATATGTCATTAGGCTCTGCATGCCATTTCTGGGTCATGCTATGATTAGTACAGGTGTTTAAAGGCAAAACACTTTATTCTTCATCAGCAAGTAACAGGACATTTTGTCTAGGCAGCAGATGTTTGTGAACTTGGCATTCAGAGAGTTAAGCAAAATTAATTAATTCAAAGTATAAATTGTTAGTATCATTTATAAGGTCAGGTAAAACATATTAACAGACATTCTTTCTGGAGCATATCTGCAAAAATTCAATATATATTTTTATATTTTCTTGGGGATATTATCATGGGGATAGGTTTGTATGTGTAGATGTTTTCATAAGCCAGTAAACCTTGTATCCTTTTTCACATCTTTGTTAATTATTTTTACTTACTAAAATTGTTAGAAGCATTAATAGTTTCTCTGTACAGTTTTTTACAACCTCAATTTGTCTGTTCTGAAATATATTTTAATATAAAAAACGCAGCCATATTACTCTATTGCTTATAAAGGCATTTTGTTAGAAAAAGCTGTTCTGATTAAGGTTGTTGCAAATTTTTATTAGGGATCATTTTTTCTTTAAAAGAAAGTTTTTAACTTTTGCCTTAATTTAAAGGAAAGACATCAGGAAAGCCGTTTCCAGTTCATAATGGTCATGGTAGTACTACCTCTGTCCTTCACTTCTGTTAACATACCTCACTCTGACAGTTAAAGCCCTTCTGACTTTTCAGCCCTTATCATTCACACTGCAATCCTGATGGCCACACACCCACCTTCATATTTATAAAGTTGACATTCCAATTTTATCAGCCACTTAATTCCAGGAGTTTTAGTGGATGAAGTAAATAGCACAAAACACCATGGGAACACTGAGAGAACTTGAAAACTTGGCACCTCTTCATGTGAAAACCTTCAGTCCCATCTACCTTGAAGGTGCCTCAACGTTTTCATCAGTCTGAAATCAGATGACAGCCTTGTTTTCCCTCTCCCTTCAGATGCCACTCTCTCTCGTTCTAGTTTGTGTTAATTTCAAACAGGAAATCTCTCTACTTTATAAAGGAGATGGGCCAAATGTTTATACCTGTTGCACTGTATATTTGTTAAACTCTTCTTTGTAAGAGAGATACTTGTCCAAATCCCCAAAGTCTAAATAAATGACCTCTCACTTTACATCCAGTTTTCTCATTTTTTTTCTCATTGAGAGTTGTGGGCATTGCATCAATTATAGGAGAAGAAGATGAACACAACTTTAAGGTTCAACTGGTGTTCATAAAGTGCTAAAAATAAGCTGACTGATACTTTCTTTGGAACATTCACAGTCTGCACCCTTAATAGGTCTTCTTTCCATAGGACACTGACATCCAGCCCCAGGCTCTCTTTGACAGTGGTCTTGAGGTTCAGTCTATGAGGAACTGGCTCCTGGTCCCTCAGACAGTGTCTCCATAACCTGTGAAGAGCTATCATGCTTCTCCTTTCCTGCAAAGTTTCCAACAAAGGAGCTGGGAAAACGGAACAGTATGCCTGTGGGTGGAACGGGCAAGTAAACCAAGTGGAGACAGCTGTATGTGGATAGCTGTGTTACTGGGTGTGGTCCATGTTTCCTAGAAAGATGCCACCCTTGTGGCCAAGGGGGTTTTCCAAAAGTTGGAGAGAGAAGCTGGGGAGAGAAATATTCGTTTCTGACTGCTTTTTGGTGTCCAAACAGGATTAGTGCAGTGCATGGCAGTGGGCTTGCTTAGCGTGGAGCCTCACGAGAAGGCGTTTACTTCACTACTGGACTTCCCAAGTTACCATCCCAAGGCATGCAGGGCATCCTTAGGTTGCAGCAGGGCAACATGTTGCAACCATTGCAGTAAGTTATTTGCCTAGTCCTGTATCTCTTGGGGCCTCAGGACTGTTAAGGCACTTTTGGTGCATACAGTCAGCTGGTTTTGCTCTAACCTGTCAGTGGAGGACTGAAAAAGGTCTCTCTTGTGATGCCTCAGAGCTTTTAGGATTTTTTTAGCTTTTTGTAGATTATAGAAGTAGTTGTGTAGTAAATGTAGATTTTAAGGTAGCTGTATAATCCCTTACCCTTTAACATAGTAGTTTACAAATACCCAACCTTATTACCCCATTTCATATCAAACCCTCTAAATTGCTTTAGCGTGTTTAGTTTTCTTTTCAAGGTAGGATTGTAGAAAACACCTCTTTTTAAGAACATTGCACCCTAGGCCTGAACAATGAGATACCATGACAGACAAAGCAACCTTCAAACCCAGGACTTTGGAGGAGCTCCAAGGGCTGTACTGCTGTGAAGAAGATGAAGATAAGGAAGAAGGGGTCCCAAAGACCCCAGAACCAGTTCCCGAAGGGGTGTGTCAGGGGCAGAACTGGGCAGAACCGAGGGGGTGGATAAATCTGGGATTGGATGGATCTTATTATAAAACCACAGAACCACTGCCTGGGTGCAAGTGTGTCGCATGTATTCCCCTGGGCCTGAGGGCCTGATTAAACGACCTGCTCTTTTATCATATATACTAAATTGGCCTGGAGTTTTTTTTCTCTGTGGTCTCTCGGCCCATCAGTTCTCAACAGTGCTCTGAACGTGCCAAAGAAGAATTATTAGTTTAAGAAACATTTTCATCTATAGAAGAAATTGAGATTAACGAAATAAGAATAAATGGCTGGGAGTTGCAGCAAGTTGGAGCAAGACAAAAATTAGGAGGGAATTGAAAATTAGTTACCATCAGAGCTATCGGGGCAAGTAGTCTCTTGATATCCTGAAAGAATAGAAGGTATACTCCAGACAAAACTGAAGTTGTTAAATGATTATCACCTCAGTCTCTTCATGCAGAGTCTCTGGGCTCAACTCTGTGAATCTACATTTTTGCATGTACATGTTAACAGTCTGTGTGGTCTTACTCGTGTGACTGGATTTTTGCAGAAGGTGTAGTTAACATGTATTTGAATCTTACCAAGTAGTACTGTCCTACATCCACAGGCATGTAGTGTCTGCTTCCAATTACAGCCTGTCCTCAGCCCCTGTGTATAACAAGAAGCTTTATCCTTCTTAGAAAATGCTCTCCTGTCTCCACAGATCTAAAGCAAATTACCCAAGAGACTTACAGTTTCTAGGAATAAATTTAATAGTTTCCAAACTGGACCTTTTTTTTTCCTTTTTTGTCTTTGAAAACAGTTGGATGTCCTTGATCAAGGTAACTGTGGCAACATCTGCACACTTTTTTACTGAACTGTACATTTTTTCAGGCCAGATAAAGCAACGCCTAACAGATGTACCCAAAAGTTTGGATAGCATAATAGGTGGATTAGCTTCCATGACAGCATGCTCATGGCAATGAAAAACCTAATTGATTTGAAATCGTAAAAGAAGGTATCCAGTATTTAGTTCGTTAATCTCAAAATTGTGATGGAATTTCAAGCACTTGGACAATCATAATCTACAAAATTATTGTATATCCTGTATTCCAGTCAAGTATTGAAATTCTTGGCCTTGACAATAAAAAATATCGCTTTTCTGAAAGAAGTCTCGTTTCTCTCCTATAAAATTGTCAGCTTGCAGCCATTTTCCCTTTCAATGTTTTATAAATTGGATTTTTTCCTCCTAAAGAAAGGATGGCATGTGTTCTAATGGGAATAGATCGAAGTACAGATATTTCAGTTCCAAGAAGCAAATCTTGGCTTCTCAAACTATAGAATCCCCCTTTTCCCTGGCTTCAGTAGATTGCTTTCCTTAAAAAAATTGTGAATTTTCCCCAGGCATGGTTTAATTGAAAGCAAGTTAATTTCACTTCTCTTTCCCTTATAAATTGCTCCCGATAAGCGCAACAGAAGTGTACAGCAGGGTACAGCAGAAGTGGCAAGTCTTTTCCCTGCTCCTGTTTCAGGAAGTGTTGCTACTGTTTACACGTTTTCTTCCTCATTTATTGTCTTACTCGGATGCAGAGTGACGCACCCCTCTCCCCCTTAGGAACGGATACTCAGCACTTTTCCTGTAATTGAAGAGGTGAAACCCAATCTTGGCACATTTCCACTGTATCCCTAGAGTTTTGGTTGCTCTGCAGAGCAGTCAGCACTTAGCTCAGCTGGCTCTGACCTAATCCTTACTGCGATGCTAACGAAATGGAAACTCTTGGTGACATCAGATGGATGCTCAGAATTATTTTAGGTAGATGCAAAACATAAACACGTAACATCAAAATGCCTGAAAGTGTTTGCTTTTGCTATACCAGGGCGGTAGACAGCTGCTTTAATTAACTGGCCTACGAGCATAACCGTGTTAAAATTCAGTGCTACAGCATGGCCTTTCCAGGCTCTTGGGTTCTTCTGTTAATTACTAGAATTGTTTCAGTTAATTACAGAAATACAGGTAAACCCAGACGGTGCCATGACTCCGAGAGGTGAACGAGGGGGCACCTCATAGAAACACCACCGCCGGGGCCTGGCGCCCGCACGAGCGATGCCTCCGTGAGGCGTTTTCCCTACGCCCTCATCCTCCCCACGACTTAAGGGGAGTTCTCTGGAGGTGGTGCGGAAAACACAGCGGAGCGCCCCCGGAACGCTCGCTCGGCGGCCCGGGCGGCGGCCGGGAGGGTTTGGCGGCGCACCGAGGCGAAGGAGGGCGGGCGTGTCCGGGACGGCGGGGCCTGACGGCGGCCCCGGCTCCCCTCGGCCTCCGGAGTGCCTTCAGCACCCCTCGTCTGCCCCCAGCCCTCCGCTCGGCTCCCCTCGGCCCCCTGAGCCCACCTCGGCTCCCCGCATTACCCCGAGCCCCCTTCGTCTCCCGTCAGGCCCCCCAAGCCGCCTCAGCCCGCCGCGGAGATGGATGACGAACCCGAGCGGACCAAGCGCTGGGAAGGAGGCTACGAAAGAACATGGTGTGTTCGTCCCCGTTCCCCTCCCTCACCCTCACCTCAAGGGAGAGAAAAACCTCCCTTCCGCTCGCTAACACTCTGCTTTGCGTAGGGAAATTCTTAAAGAAGACGAATCCGGGTCGTTGAAAGCAACCATCGATGATATCCTCTTCAAGGCAAAGAGGAAAAGGTACTTTTTGTGACCACAAGCCTGCAGACAGCCCTGGCTTGATCATACTGAAAGTGGGCTTTTGTGTCCTTACCCCTTCATGCTTCCTGCCTACTGCTTATTGTGCTGTGAGAAATTGTAAAATGAACTTTTAACTTTAATCTAAGCACTGTGTGTGCAGGCTGGATACCCCAGGTGTATGCAAGCTGGAGGTCTTGATCTGATGGACCGCGGTGCAGAGCACTGCAGTTGCAATCTGCACAGCTTAGAGAAATCCTCCAGCACTTTTTTTAATACACAAATCATAGAATCATGGAATGGTTTGGGTTGGAAAGGACCTTAAAAAGTTCATCCAGTACCAGCCTGGCTGCTATGGGCAACACCTCCCACTAGACCAGGCTACTCAGAGCCCCATCCAACCTGGTCTTAAAAACTTCCAGACATGAGGTGTCTACAACTTCTCAGCTTCTGTGGGCAACCTGTGCCAGTGCCTCACCACCCCCATCATAAAAACATCTTTATATCTAATCTAAACCCACTCTGGTTTAGTTAAAAACATTGCCCTTTGTCCTATCACAACAGAAGCTGGCGTTTGGTATCATGGGACCAGATTTCCATTTCAAATTTCAGAAAAATTGCCAGAAAAAAATCTAACTTCTGCTTTATTTCAAGTTATGTTAAAACATTCAAATTTGGATAAAATTTTAAAGCTTCGTTAAACCTGGTTGTAACAAATAGTTTTTATTTGTTTTCTGAGAGAGAGGACAGGTCTGTGGCTGAGTTGTGGGATTTTTCAGTGTAAATAAGTGTCTGCAGTTTGTTACTGCTGCACATTTGGCAGAAGTCCAGTTTAGGTTTGGGCTTTTGGTTTAGGAGCCATTTCTTCACTTGCCTCTTACTTAAATTCTTCTGTGTTTTGTTAGACTCTATGAACACCATGGACAAGTTCGACTTGGAATGGTATCTTGATGTCTTCGCTCTCTTCTGTCCTCGGTCCAAAGCTACTTGACTAGAGCTGGTGTTCCTGCGCTGAAAGACAGTGTGAAAGACACAGACCTAACGTGCTTGAGACCAAACCTTGTGTTTCCCACCAGTTTTGTTTTTTTTTTTTTAAGCATTCTTTGTTCACTGGCAGGGTGAATGTGCAGCATGAGCATTCGGAGGTGGAGTTCAGAGGTTTGGCACAGGGGGTGTGTTTTGCAGTGGGAGCACCTGTACTCGCACTGTCCATTTCCCTTCACGTGAAAAACGGGTGTAACTGAAACGGCTTGTAAATAACAACCTTGCTTTAGTCCAGCACTAAGTTCTTCAGATGAAAACATGAAGGTTCCAGCTGTGCATGTGTTGCAGCTTATTGTGAGAGGAAAAGAGCAGTGTGCATTCTCCAAGAGAGGGGGTTTGGGTGTTTTTTTTTTTCATTTTGAAGGAAAAGTAGACAAATGTGTTACTTTTTCAGTTGATGTTGATTGCATGGCTCAATATTCTGAATTTTCCCAGTTTGAGGGAGGAATTAATGGCTTTTTAAAGTAAATGGAATAAGGAATTCAGTTCAGTATGTATTCTGTGAGTGATTTTCACTTATGGTGGAAATGCAGATGCGTCACCTTTATGTGGTTGTTGATGGATCAAGAACAATGGAGGACCAAGACTTAAAACCGAACAGACTTACTTGCACTTTGAAGGTATTTCTGGACTCAAAAATGTTCCCTTACTAAGCCACTGTTCCTTTATAAACCCAGTTACATTTTGCATTTAAAAGAATTGCAGTCTCCTGTCTGTGCATAGCCTCATCTTTCCTATCATCCCTGCTTTTTTCTCCCTTGATTCTCTTGCTAGTCTGTTATTTTCCTGTTTTTTGAATAATGTGACACTATTTTGCCATGCACATTTACTTCTGTACAGTAAAAGCACTTTATAAGGATATATTAGGGAAAGACGCTTTATGAAAAGTATGTGGAAATTAATTGTTGCCCATAATAAGGGGATGAAAGAAAAACAGACATGTTTTCATTGCACATCTAGAATTGTTTGTGTTTTTTTTCTTATAGTTGGGGTTTTTTTTATGAATTATGATTTGAAAGAGTGTTAGTCAGGACTTGAATTGGATTGGTGTTTCAGGCATGGGGGACTTGAACTGTACATATTGTACTATATGGTCTTCCCTAATAACACTGAAGCGTGAAATCCTGGGTTTTGGTGATTTTGTACAGATTGATGCTCTGTGGTGTGTTGGAAACCTGCATTTGAACCACTGGGAATCTGGAACTTGAACATACGACGTGAATAAAGTAAAAAGGGGACAAGTTTCTGAAATTTGCATTGCATTGGTAACATGGGATGAAGGAGAAGGGCTGGGGTGAAAGAAGAATAGAAAAGAATGTCTCATTCTCTTGTTTTGTTTTCCTCAGCTTTTTTTTTTCCATTAATGATACTAGATGTTTTGCAAGTATCACCTATTTAATGCATGGGGAAAAAAACTGTAATTAGTTCTTAACAGTCTTAACTTTTCTTTGTAGTTACTGGAATATTTTGTTGAAGAGTACTTTGACCAAAATCCCATTAGTCAGGTATGTACAACCATGCAAGAAACAAGTAATAGAAAGCTATTTTAGAAGGTAGTTTTAGTTTTAACAGTATCTAGTAAACTGTTCTCTGTTTATGTGTACCTTCCCATCCTGTCTAGTGAAACTCTTGTTTCTGCCTGAACTAATGAATATAAGAACCTGTCTGTTCTCTTATTCCTAGCGTCAATTCTGACATAGAAGACCTGATTATATTTTTTTCATGCACTTGGATTTTTCAAAGATTTCTTTTTGTGCAAAAGTACTGGAAATATGCAGTTTGTATTAACTGATGCATCGCATTGGGCTGCTGTTGTTACAGTTACAAGAACACTTGTATAGACTTGTATGGTTAAGTAATTCTGATCCATAAAGAAGTATTAGGCAAAATATAGCAAAAATATAAATCATCCTCTTTTAAAACTTGGTAAGAAAATTTTTGACTATTTTTTTTTCCTTTTCCAGATTGGCTTAATTGTAACCAAGAGTAAAAGAGCTGAAAAAATGACAGAACTCTCAGGTAGGGAGTTAGTTTTGGGTTTTGTGGGGTTTTGTTTGTTTGTTTATTTGTTTGGTTTTTGTTTGGTTGGTTTTTTTGTTGTTTTGGTTGTTTGGTGTTTTTTTGGTTGTTTTTGTGGTTTTTTTTTTTTAATTGGAGGTGTTTTTGTCTATTTCATTGATTTTACAAGTTCTACCTGATATGCTGCTGGAAGCGGTGTTAACATATTTTTAAAAGATTAATTATTGCAAATCGTCTGAAACCATAGTCTTTATTTTGATCTGTTTTGATCTAGATGTGGCACTGTGTGCTTTTTGCCATTGTCTTGTCCAGATTGCAGCTAAAACATGATTTGTTTCCCCTATAGTTAATTTTCTACCCGGTTTGTTAATTTTGTATGTTATGACCATACCTGTGTGTATGGTGAGATCTGATCAGATGTTAAAAGCAAGGTTTCTTTGGTTCCTGCCTGCTGTTAGAGCAATCTCTGTGGCTTCAGAGATAAAGCAGACTTCATTGAGGAAATCGAGGATGAATCAATCTTTGAACAGTTCTTTGAGGATAACAGAAGAAACTAAACTCTTTTTTTGCTGAAACACTTTGTGAGACACTTTGCGCTTATGTTGACCACTTAATGATACACAGCAGTGATTTTATTTTGTTGACTTCCTAAAGTTTCTAACAACTGGGTGCCTGTAGAGTAAATGTCTTTCTGTTAATATATTGGTTTATTGTTTTCTGCATTCTGATTGGCACATCAGTTTCGAACGAAAAATAGACAGTTTATTGTCACAGTTGAAAACTTGTTGTAAAGGTACACTTCATTGCATATGTACTTTAAATATTTCAATTCTTTTAACTTGTTATATCAATTGAATTGCTTGGGATTTTTTTTCACTTGCAGGAAACTCAAAAAAGCACGTAACTGCTCTGAAGAAAGCAGTGGATATGAACTGCAGTGGAGAGCCTTCTCTATATAATTCCCTAAATTTGGCCATGCAGACTTTAAAGTTAGTATTTACCTGGAGGTTTTTTTATTTCCTTAGTGATTGTGAATTTTTTGAGAGGCAGAGACAGAATTTTTTTCGGAGGAGCATCTTGCATCATGCTGACTTGAGTTTTTAATTATGTTCTCTTACAACACAAATAAGAAGTTAAATATGCTGGTCGTGCAGAAATTGATTTTTTAACACGAGATGCTTGTATTTAGAGATGTGCTGCTTATAAAATGCAACAGTATTTTAAAACCAAGTAGATGATTGTATGTAGATATTGTGATGAAAGACAATTTTTTTTTACTGGAGGGCTGAGGTATGGGAAAGGACAGAGTTAGGGGTTAATGATGAGAGAACAGGCAAAGAAGCAGCATTGAGTCACAGTAATCTTGTGGGAGTTTTGGCATTCTTTAGAAAGATAAATTTTCAGGTAGGATAGATTTAAAACAATTTTTTGCTGTGTGAGGTGTTGAGATGCATCCCAGTTTGGAAGACGGAACGAAAGATTATGGCTAGAAACACTTACAGAACAAAGTTAGTAGTCAGTGTCATAAAAAACTATTTGAATGACTAACTGGAAGAGAGTTTGCAACTAAGAACCAAAAGTAGTTAAGAGTAATGAATTTACACCTATAAATTTTTATTTTAAGAAGTCAGAAGACTTGCTGTAGTGTTGCTAGTTTGAAGGTAAATTTTCCCTGTGAGAGTGTGGATAAGGGATTCATTAGAGCAAACAGTTAGATAACAACTACACAGTCAAGTACTGGAAAGGTTTGGCTTATGGAAGGTGAAATTCTGGTGCTCAGAGAAGGATCATATTAGAATTTGTAGAGGACTTCATATTGTATCATCTTATGACTTCAGTGCATTGAAGTCCTTGTAGACATTATCATCCAAGTAGCTTAGTGTGCAGCAGTAAATTAACTATGTACTTTCCTTAGGCACATGCCAGGACATACAAGCAGAGAGATTTTGGTAGTCTTCAGCAGCCTGACGACATGTGATCCAGCCAACATCTATGATTTAATTAAGGTACAGAATTGTAGTTTGACTACTGCATTGAACATCCAAGCTATTAGAGTAAAACCAGACAATTGCAGTGTCATCACCAATTAATTTTCATTTAAGACTTTTTACTAGTTTTTGTTCTGCACATGAATTTGAGTATGCTTTCTTTTTCTATTTCAAGTGTTTAAAAGCAGTTAAGATCAGAGTATCTGTCATCGGCCTAAGTGCTGAAGTTCGAGTCTGTACAGTACTTGCCCGAGAAACTGGTGGTATGTATCTGAAGTTCAGTAGTTATATTACTAACACAGGTTTAAAATCAAAATTAAGTAACTGTTTTATAAATTCATTAATGCATTTTGATATTTAAGGATGAATATTTTCCATTGTGCTGGCAGAAAATTCAAGGGTTTCCCAAATCTATGAAATACACAGTAGTAAGTGAAATTATTATGAGCTGGTAGCTGCAGCTCTAAAGAGAAGAAATAGATATATTTTCAAAACTAGTGTTCCACGTATTAAGCTATGTGATGTGGAACTTAAGCAATGTAACGTGTTAATATTAATTGCTGCAGTGGTAACTTTTACAATATCATTACTACAGTGTAATGTTGGGGAAAAAAGCTATGGGCCTTCATGTCTGATTTAACATTCTGGTGTTACCAAATTCACAACTTGTCAGTTTCAGTAGCATTAGCAGGGCTAGTTTTTAGGAACAGGTTTGGATAAATTACTTTTTCTACTTAATTTGTTTTCTGTCATTTGGAGTGTACGTTTGTATTCTCAGCTGTTCATAACCTGCAAGTAAGGCATTTATTTCTTTGCGACAGGAACATACCACGTGATTTTAGATGAAAGTCATTTTAAGGAACTGCTGATGCATCATGTTAGTCCTCCACCTGCCAGTTCGAGTTCTGAGTGTTCCCTTATTCGAATGGGTATGGTACAGTTTTGTTAAACTCCGGGCACAAGATCTGCTCTGTCTTTTTACTTCTTTGCATCTTCTGTGTTAAAGCCTTACAAATAGTAATAAGCTTAATAAAGACATTGCAGAATTGTGTTTTTTTTTTTTTTATTTTGACTTGTATTTTGCTAAAGAAATACAAGTTTTCTTGATGTTGTTCCTGCAAAGTAGTCAGCTTTAAATAAAACTAACAATTAAAAAAGAGAAATTATTCAACAGAAGTTGGGAATAATAAGGTGGAATGATATTGCTTGTAGAGTGATTGTTATAAATGTACTACTTAGAAATGAAGGATGAAAAATTATTTTGTTTCTCCCTATTTTTTCCCTGCAGAAGGCAACTGTCATAACTATTAATTGATTGTGAGAGCCATATGTTTAGCCATGTAGTACATATTTGTTAGGAGCACTGTTGTGGTGTTCTTTCAGCAAGTAGATTAGGTGCCTTTTCTTCTCCTGATGTGTTTCTCAATAAATTTAAGCTTGGAGTTAAACCAAAATAGGAACTATAATGCCACAAAGTAGAGCATTGAGTTCTCACTTTCATCCACCCCTTTCACAGAGAGACATGTATGTATTTTTATGTGTAGATATAAATACTGAAGAGGTTTACTTGTTATAGGTAAAGCCTGAGGAGCAGTTGGGAGAGCCAACTGTCCATTTGTCATGAGCTGTAAAAAATAAGTGGTAGAAAGAAAGGTGTCTGTTACAGTCTCCATAAAATGCTGTAGTGTCATCTGTTGTACACTGCACTTGGAAGGTGAATATAGGCTTGGTGTCTGCATATATAAAAATATCTTCCCCTTAATTAGAAACCATTGTTTAAGTGAACATTCGTGTGGTGCTTATTCTGCTTTCCTACCATTGCATATAGTTTTCTTTTTCACTGTTCTTCAGAAATGGGGTTCCAGGAGCTTCAGTTAATACAAAGTCTACGAAAAGACATTTTTTCAGTTGGGGAAAGTATGCTGAGGGATATGTGAATGTAGGTAGAGACCTTTAGGGAGAATTTGATACCTAGTAAGAGTGTATTATTTCTACTGTAATAACAAACAAGAAGGAGATAGGCCTTAATATTTAGAATAGTCTTTGAACTTCTCCACTAAAGTGTGAGACTGACACATTACTTGCATGTGTAAAATTGTTAATATGGGCTATTTTTCTCTTCAGGTTTTCCTCAGCATACTATTGCTTCCCTGTCTGATCAGGATGCAAAGCCTTCCTTTAGCATGGTGTAAGTAGAGTTAATTAGAATTCAGTGAGCTGATAAGAATTCAGTATCAGTTAGTCATATATTTAGAAAATCTTTACAGTGAAAATATTGCAAAATAACATGAAAAAATAGCAAGCAATGGCTTGTGACTTCTCAGCAGATATTTTATTTTCATTTGCACATCCTGTATGCGACCATAGTTACCTCTGTTAAATATGCTTTTTAAACTTTGCATTTAAATTTTTGGAAGATGGTAAATGGTGCTTAGTTGTGTTATACGATAATTAGGGCAAAAGGGTGCTACAAGGTGCTAAAGTAATTACTGCCAATTTTATGTGCAGTTCTTCATTTAGGTACTATTATCATTATAAAAGATTATTATTAGGATGAAGGGTATTATCTGAATAAAGTACTTTTTTATGTATTTCCTAATGTAACTTTAAAGGGAAGCTTAAAATATAGGCCTTATTTGATTACTGTATCTGAGCTCTTCTTAATGAAAAGAATCATAGTTTTCAGGGCTGATATGGGAGCCTGAATTCTCAGAAGGAAACAGTGTCTGCTCTTTGAAAGAATAAGTACACTACCATGCAGCTTACTGTCTATACAGAATATTTTTGTGCCAAAGTAGGAATAGGAATGCAGTTGTCACTCATAACTTTACTTTTTAAAGGTGCATTGGCGCCTTTATGTGAGAAAATTTGGTCTTTGTTCTGTTCTTGTGGAAAAATGTGGTTACTGATACCTCCTCGTGTCAGATGCTTTCTGACACACATGGAACTGTTGCGTGCAATCTACTGAAACTTTTAAAATTATTTGTTGTGAAAACTGTGTAATATTTGTAGTTAATGTAGTAGTATGGTGTTACCTCTTAGGTACTGAATTGTTTCTTTCTACTGTAGGCAATTGGAAAACAACAGTGAGCCCAGTCTCACACTGGGTGGGTATTTTTGTCCCCAGTGCAGAGCCAAATACTGTGAGCTTCCTGTGGAATGCAAAATCTGTGGTAAGTAGCAAGAAGAGGCGAGTGGATGAAGTAGGAGTTAGTGGTAAGAGAGTTAAGGGGTAGAAAAATTCGATTATACTTAGGAATTAAAAGCAGCTCTGCTTTTAGGGTCCTGCATTCCTGTGACCTGGGATGCCAACTTCGTACGAGGGATGTTTCAGGATATACCTGCAACAGGAAACCTGTATCATATCCCCTGGTGTAATGTTATAAACTAAAAACCCTAAAGCAAAGCAGGGAAGAAGGGTGATCCATATGTGAATGGTAATTTCTCAAGAATCCAGATTTAACAGACACACCAATGTTCCAGGCTCCTCAGTGCAAGGCTGTGGAGATAGAATGCTTTGGAGTAAAAAGGCAGAAGACCTCCCACCTCCAGGAGTATGTGAATGGAAGATTTCCAAGTAGACCCCAAGGCCAGGCTGCACAGCGACACATGACAGGCTGTAGAGTTGTAAATGGAAGCCCTTCGGTGTTGCAAATGTTAATGGACTGTGCAACCAATGATTCCTCCCCCTCTTGCCCTTAGTGAGGGTGGGAGGGAGGATTAGCATGTTTTATAGTATTAATACCGTGAGTGGTGCTGTCCTGTTAGCTTCTACTGGCGTATGACTAAAACGTGATAGGTATTACCAAGATGTGTGTATTTGGCAAGAGGATGAATAATTACAGTTTTGGGTCACTTTATCCTATTTTAATTTCACGTTTTTCATACAAGCATGTTGGGTTCCAGCAAGGGAATAGTGTAAAAGAGAAATCCTGTATCAGCAGTGGATTCTCCACAGCTGCAGGGATCAGGCAGAACAAGAGCTCAGATGCTTACACTGCATGTGAATGAGTGGTGGAGATGTTTGTGCCAGCCCAAGCCCCAGCTAACCTGTTCTCGTGGTCTGACCCCAGCTGGCAACTCAGCCCCACACAGCCACTCAATCCCTGGTGGGATGGGGGAGGCAACTGGAAGATTAAAAGTGAGAAAATCATGGGTTGAGATAAGACAGTGTAATATATACAGGAAAAGCTGTACATGCAAGCCAAGCAAAATAAGTAATTAATTCACCACTTCCCATTGGCAGAATCTCCAGGAAAGCAGAGCTCCATCATGGGTAACAGTGAGGGGAGAAGATAAATAGCATCTCTCTGAATGTTCTCCCCTTTCCACCTTCATCCAGCTTTATAGGCTGAGCATGATGCCATGTAATGTGGGATATCCCTTTCTTCTGTTGGGGGATTGACTGGCATCCTGGCTGTTTCCCCTCCCAACTCCTTGTGCACCCCCAGTCCTACTCACTGGTAGGGTGAGAAGCAGAAAGGGCCTTGGCTCTGTGCAAGCACTGCTCAGCAGTAAGGAAAACAATCCTATTCCCAGAACAAATCCAAAACACAGCCATTTGGTTGTTAATGTGAAGAAAATTAACTGTTAAAACCAACAGACCTGTGTTAGCTGAAACAGGACTATGGTGTGCTTTTGGCAGTATTACAGGAGGCTGGAGTAGAGCATTTTAGTGATGTGATACAGCAGAGCCATCATTGCCAAAGAGGAGCTTCCTAACTTGACCACTATGCATTGTAAATGTACTTCTAAAGACAGAGTTAAACCTTTTCAGTAGAAATTTGAGTAATTTGCTTGTTCTTTATGTTTGGATTTAAATCTGGAAAGGATCACAGCTTTGGCTTTTAGAAGCTAACGGAACAAATAATTTTAATTTTTTAAATTCCTGAAAGCTTTGAACCACTGAGTAGTTTAAAATATTTTTTTTTTCCTTTTGACTGTATTTTATACAGAAAAGATTTTCAGTAAGTTCTCTCTTGTAATAATTTTGATGTCTCTTTATTTGCAGGTCTTACACTAGTGTCTGCACCTCACCTGGCTCGGTCATACCATCACTTGTTTCCTTTGGATGCTTTTCAGGAAGTTCCACTGGAAGAATACAAGGGGGAACGGTATGCAAATTATATTTATGATAATGAGTTTACTTGTGGATTCTGTAATTTTTTTGTCACCAAAGTAAGAATAGCTGGCAGCAGCTACTTTGCTGATGGAGACACTGAATGTTTGTGTAGTTTTGGGCACCTCTGGCATTAAGAAATATTTGTAGTTCCCATCAACAGTTATATCTATGAGTTCAGTTGAATAGCTGAAATAATTACCATGAATTGTTGCTATGTATAAGATATTTTTTAAACACTGATTGACTCTTTTTTCAGTTAAAATAACACAGTTTTGCTTTCAGGTATTGTCAAGGCTGTCAGGGAGAAATGAAAGATCAAAATGTGAGTATGTTGAGCTGAATTGGAATTTGCATTGAGGGTTTGAGAAGCAGAGGTGATCCTTTAGTCATCTTAAGACCACGAAAATATTTGTGGATGTTTATGTCATGGTTAACTGGTGTTCTGTGATAAAGAGCCACGTTTTTTAGACTGCAAAGTCTATAAAAGTGTGGGAAGGGATTTCCTAGGAAGCTGCATAAAGAAGCTTCCACTCTTAGCCATGTGGAAGCATCTACAATGACCTGAGCTCAGCCCTGTGGATATACTTGCTGTTAGAAACTTTAAGTTCAGTGTTTCAGAGTTTCAGTGATGTTAGCAACACAGTCTGTTTACACTGTCTTCATGACACAACTGTTGCCCTACTGCAGTGCTATGATGGTGATAATTTTTTTAAATTTGACTTGTTTTTCTATCCTTTCCACACAGGTTTACATATGTAAAGTGTGTCAGAATGCATTTTGTGTGGAATGCGACCTGTTTGTCCATGATTCTCTGCACTGCTGTCCTGGCTGTATTCACGAGCATCCTGCTCCCATATCTATATGACACCATGTCTTTGAGAAATTGTTTTATTTATGTCACTCTTGCATGAATTTTTTTTGTTCAGACATTTTATTTTTTTTATTCAGACAGTTTTGTTTATTCAGGCATTATTTTAACTGACACATCTCAGAACAACAAGATGGTTAAAGAGGGATGATGTGCTGGTTTAAAGGTAAACCAGCAGGGGAAATGAACTCAACTCAAAAGAGAGATTATAAATCAGAATAACAATTTAATAAAATAATACAATAAGTACAATTATACAGACAAACAATTGGTTTTAACCCACAAAACCCAAATATATAACCCAGCACCCTGGGGCATGAACAGAGTGGTGTTCCTTGGGCCCCCTGAGTCCAAAGGAAAAGGAGAGGGGAAAACCTGTTGGTGAGAGTGCTGTTGCAGTCTGGTCAAGAGTGGTGATTGCAGTCCGGTCGAGAGTGATGGTTGCAGTCTGGTTGAAAAGTGGTGGTTGCAGTCCAGTATAGGGTGGTGGTCTCAGTCTGGTTGAGAGTGGTGGCCTGCAGTCTTCCTCTGGATCCCACGAGTGGTTAAAAAGGTCCCAAGACTCCAAGATTATATATCCTGCAGTTCAGGCAGGAATGTCCAGTACCTCCCTCAGGGCGGGGGGTTCCTCAATGGGTGTGAGGACAAGAACAACTCCTATCTCGAAGGCCTCTTAACACCTAGTTTATAGCCTGAGGAGTCAGGCTCTATGGTCATCATCATCATGGCTGGGCTTCGCGAACGAAGATTTGGGAAGGCTCTAACCACATTTGTTACGGGCACGTTGGTGACTTATGAGGCCAATACGTTACAGACATATCCGATTGCAAAAGGCACAGCAGAAAGGCTCCTTAGGTGGTATATTCTGCAGGGCACGATTCTTTCTGCGTTGTCTTTTCTCCTCAAGGGTGATCCTGCGTGTGTTCTCAAAGGCATCAGCTGCGTTATAGATGGTGTGTCTCCAGATCTCCTGATTGGAGGCCAGAGTAGACCAGTTATGGTGATCAATATGGCCAAGGCCGAGATGTTGTTTCAGGGAGTCCTTGTATCTTTTCTTCGGGTCTCCTCTCTTGCGGCAGCCAGTGGCAAGTTCACCATAGAGCAGGATCTTAGGGAGGTGGTGGTCCTTCATCCTGGAGAGGTGCCCTGCCCATCGCAGCTGTGTTCTCAATAACATGGCTTCTATAGAGGCTCTATGGACAGATAGTGTAAATGGTTCATTGATAACAGTTTCTGGGAAATGGCATGGAAGGCTATAGAATACACAGTTTTGGGTTACACCCATCCAGTGATGAACTGGTCCCAGCTGTCCTAACTAGGACAGATGGGCTCAGTATTGAAGAGAGATGCTATTTGGTTCTGAGGCTTCAGTGAATTGACAGAACTACACGTTTTCTTCTCTCCTGGGCTAAACCCCCAGAGCAACAGACAGTAAGGTGGGTGGAGAAGGGGAAGCGTGTGGTCTTATCTGAACATCAAAAGAATAGAATTGAGACTAACGCAAAACTCTTGTCATGTGCTACACCTCAGGAAGAGGTTACAGGTGCAGTGTCTGAAGCAGTAGGTCATACCTGGTTTTCTTGTCATCTTATGATTGTAAACACATCAGTGACTGAGTTACTCTGGATGTATATGAAATATGACTTGATTTTTTTAAAGGGTGAGCTTTGTCGTCAGGTTAGAAATGGCAGTATAATCACTGAGTCTTAAAACTGCAAACAAGCAAAAAAAATCGAACCTCTATCTTAAGTTAGTTCCCTGTTTTTCATGCTCACCACATACAAACAATGCACACTACATTTCAGTTCTCACAGGCAGTTTTAAAGTCTGTTAAATATGAAAATTCTCAATTGTGAACATAGCTCTTTCTGTGCTTTTTCTACCATTTACGCCTGCAGGCTGGATAGAAGGCAGTCATTCTCTTGGGTTGGCAGAAAAGTGATTGTTCACTTGCATTTCATTTTGTGCTTAGTCAGACAATCCCTATGAAGCCTTCGTGCTATGCCTATTACTGTAAGAGTGTCCTTAAAAACTAGCAGAAAAAGGACATAGCCCTGGGGTTTAGTGGGGTCTAGGAGGCCATTCCAAGCCAAACTAATGCCCTGAGCAGCTGGCTCTTAGATGTTCTGATGCTGGTGACAGTGTCTTGAGACATTTTTTTCTGGTAATATTTTCATCTTTGCATTCAGCAGTTCCTAATGGAAAAAAAGGTTTTGTCTGAACACTTCAAATCCATTCTAGCTTTTTCTCTTACTAGATACCAAAATAACATACTCCTACACAGTTTCTATTTCTGAAAGCAAAAGCTGTGTATGAAGTTGTGGGCCTATACTCCATTACCTGCTTGTGGTCACAGCAATAATTTGGTTTGTACTTTTCTACCATTCTCGTTGGAAGAGCAGTTCAAACCAGCTCCTGAAAAATCGCTACTGGGGCAGTATTTCCCTGATGCATGAAGAATTTCAGCTGTGTACTGTGTATTTAAAACAGCATGGAGGGAATTTTCCCATCACCAGTTCTCTTTTTTGGCATTCACTGGCTGTCAGGTCTTCTTTGCTTCTGGGAAGCTCCAACCTTCTTAATTCTCATTATATCCCTATTTACTGGATCTGCCACAAGATAAGTTAGTCAGTGAGGTTATTAGCAGGCCTGTTAGAAATTCTTGGTAGTTCTTGAAGATGTTGCGTAAAAGGTTTTGGACACAAAGCATTGAGGAAGAGACAAAAGACCAAAATATTCCGTGGTGGGACTGAGGACACAACTGCGGCAGTAAGTTCAAGACTGGAGTGTGCTGCCGTTTGGAGTGCAGGGGACTTCAGAAAGGTGAGTGCCTTCACTTTCCTTCCACTTTATACTTTCCTTGCAGGAATAACAGTTGCCATCTGTAATAATGATCATAACTAATATCCAAGACTGGAAGTGCTAATAATATATTAAAATATGAGTGAAAAGGAGTTGACAAGAGGAGCAGGTGGATGATCGAAGGAGGCTGTGACCCCATGGAGAGCCTGCACCTGTAGCAAGCTCCTGGCAGGATCTATGGCCCTATGGAGAGAAGAGTCCTTTCTGGAGCAGGTTTGCTGGCAGAACTTGTGACCTTGTGGAGGACCCATGCTGGAGCACCCTATTAAAGGACTGCACTCCATGGAAGGGAGAGGGCAGTTGTGCCTCTTCAGCAATGAACAGTTGCTGAACAGATGATTTCGAAGCTTTGCATCACTGCAATCAATCTTAATTTACTTCAGCTAGACAATGAAGAAAACACCTTCAAAGTAGCTTAGCTAAGTTATGGTTAAGTTTTTCTCTTTTTTCTTAATTTGTGGGAAAACTGATTCTCTCTGACACTTGACCACAGAAGGAGGAGGAAGTGAACGCAGTAAAGTTGAGGCCTGTATTTCCCTGAAAAGCAAATCACTGGCTTTAACTAAATTACTGCCTAGTTTTGTGCCTACAGCCTCTGCTCTGCAAGAGTAGAATTGTAGACCAGAATTCAGCCCTACATGGTAAGTGATGTCCATAATTAGCATTACGTTTCAGAGAGTCTGCTTTTTCTAATTTATTTTTAGTAATGGTACTCAGGAAAAGGCAACACAGCAAGACTTCCTGATATATTCCAGCCATTCATCCAACCAATAAAAGTCTACAGAAGCTAAAAATAAAACCACCTCAAAGCAAACCACAAAGTTTGAAAAGTAGAACTTTATTAACAAGCACTTGAAACAAGAAATTAGTCTTTCTGAATAAAGCTGTCATATTCATGATTCTAATCAGACCCATAAGATGTCTCTGTTAATACGACAGTACAGTTTTCCAGTCTGTTACAGTGGGCACTGTAACACATTCCTGCCACAGCTCTCTCTTTTGTAAAAGAATATTCCATAATCAATGGTTCTGGTGCTGTCATTCAGACAAAACGTCTGAGGAATACAAGAGGTGTTAGGATGAGAGGTAAATGAAATCTATCACGTGGGATCAAAAAGGTTAAATCTATCATGTGGTAAGAAAACTTGAAATTGTCTCAAGGGAAGTAAAAATACTTTGTTGCTGCAGTCCTTGCTAAATACATTTGACTGGAGGGCTTAAAGAAATGGCTCATTTCAATGTACATTTACTTACTAGTAAATGAAGTTACTGAAGGTATTTCTTTACTCATTAACAGGGGCAGCTCAGTGTTAAGAAAACATGACTAATTGTCTTGATAGAATTCTGTTCTTCACCATCAACCATCAGTTGGTGATACAGTGACATACACCTCTCAGTGGGAAAGATTTGTACCTGGCTTAAAAAAAGAAGCAAAAATTAGTATAGAATAGCTTTTTCCTTTAAACACACAAAGAAGAATTACTCAACTACACAGAAATTACATGTTGTCAAGGAAAATCAGAAAACAAGTCCTGAAGAGAATATAGTTTTGTTTTATAAGGAAGTGAACAATACACAGCAGAATTCTGCAGAAAGTATTTCAAATAAAAGCATGGGCACTGAAGTAACGAGAAGAGAACTGCTCAATAATATCAAACTCAAATGTTGATCTTGTCCTGGAAACAGTTTAGCTACACATCTACTGGCTATGTAAGGAAACACAGATGAAAAAACTGCATTTCACTTACAACCCTTTGTTTCCAAAACAGCCCACTACTAACTATTCATAATTCAAATAAGATGTACTGTTAATCCTGATGAAGAGAGAGATACTGTAGTTAAAACTATCATCAGAGCAATAAATACTTTCCTTCATTTTAGCTGAGAAAATACTATTCCACATCTGCTAAGCAAAGAAGGGATTAACACTGGCAGAAGCAGTCTTTGTAGAGAGCTGTAAGAGCAGATGGAGGTCCCAAAGCTCATGGGATTTTGAAGAGAATTCAAAACAAGTGGATTTTCATTTACCGCAAAGTTGTGATACTTACAATCCTTCAGAACAACGATGACATTCGGTCATTTCGCATGCGTCTGTCTCTCCAGTGCTGCTTCCATTCGACTTTGTTTTAAACCCTACAGGATACAATTTAGGAAAATCTTGGTTTTGCTAACATGGAAATAAAAACCTTAGTTGCAGAACAAAAATATTTCCGAACAATCTTTTTCGGTCCTTCACAAATCACGAATAGCTTTTAACTCTCCGTGGAAAGCAGAACAGGCAGTTTAAAAAAAAGAGAGAAGCCAAACTACAATGTTCTTTATAATCAACTGCTCTACAGAATAATTTCAAATATGTATTTCTTGTTCAATTGTAAGTAGATTAAAGCAATCCACAATTACATATAATCTGAAACAAGAAATTCCCAAACTAGTCTTTTGAAGATATCCTGTGGCATCAAACCCTCCCTTTCCAGCTTCCTCAGTGCAACTCTTGACATCATTTTCTTTCTTCGTAAGTGTACAGAGGAAAATATGAATCAATAATACAAGTCACAGATTTTCACAACTACGCTGACAGCTTCTGCTGGGCCTCCACAACCAGATGAAACAAATACTTACAAAAAGTCTCTGCAGAAATGCCAAATCTGATCTTAAATGTGATACTACCACTCAAAGAAAATACATAGAAGACTACTGAATAATAAACATATTAACTCCACCTGGCTACAAAACCAGAACTGGTTGTTTCAGAATGGCTATATGGCAGTGGTTATAAAAGTACCTCATGGAACCAACCCCTCCAGTGGAACAAAGTACTACGACAACATTGAATATATATATATATATATATATATATATATATATATATATATATGTGACTCCTACTCAGTGACAACAATACTTATACAATACAAAACATCCTTAAATGTAGCAATTGTAGATTAGTATAAGAGATCTAAAAAACACCCCTCCCTATCTAACCTTTTGCTGCAAACAGCAGCAGCAACAGGAACACAAAATTATGACGACACTTCAAAACCAGAGTGGCACGTACCAGGTAATATCCAGTGTGATAACCACTCATGTACCAGGCTATCAACATGCTCCCCAATGCTTCGTCATCCTCAGGAGAGTCTGGCCTCATAGGTGGTGGAGGAGGAATCAACTAAGAAATCACAAAGGAAATGTCTTCGTTTCAATAGGGTGTATCCCAGGTTAGAGAGTGACCAATTCTAAAAGGTTAAAACATAAAACTGGAAAATAGGAACATATCCTTGATATGTTCTCTGAAAAGGAGTCAAATAAGATGATGCTTTCTGAACATATGTAATTTCCATAGCCTAGGAGAAACAGGATTCCTGTAGCTTGTACACAAATTGTTATTAGGGGGAAATATTATCTGCTTCAGGGAAATCCTGTTGATTTAAGGTATAGTTTCTTCAAATAATTTTCCCCTTGATATTCTTACCAACAGCTTCACTGCCACAAAAATGAGTGCAAATCAGACCTTGTGCGTTAGATTATTGCAATATTTGTAACTGAATGTGCTCACACGTGAAAATACAGACTCTAACAAATGTGTTCTAAAAACACAGGCAGTGAGCACATTCAGTGAGAAAACCTGAGATCACCAGCACCTTTCTTCCTCATTCTCTCATCACTTACCGGTGGTCCTGCTGGGAAAGGTGGTGGCCAGCAAGATAAAAATGATGGTGGTGTCTTGCATTTTGATCCAGGCTACATGGAAAAAAAAAATGGAGCAGTACAAATTAAAAAGGAAATTGGAGTATTAGGATTTTACTTAGGAGAATTGTGTGAAGCAATTCACATGCCTTAAATTTAAGGCAACACACCCCAGCAACTTAATGAAAATACACCCAGTAGTTATTTCTGTGGCACATTCCATGACTGGAAAAGTACAGCTTGCATTACACGTGTCACTGAGGTAAACAGGGCTGAAACAGGGCTCTAGTTAATACAGGCATTTTTAAAAAGTTTTTCCTAAATGGAAGTCAGTCGTTGCACTCTCACAGAAAGAAACATATCTAATATGCACACAGGCAAACAGATAATTTCTCTGCTCCTGTGTGGCTGGGGGCACAAGCTGACTAAATTCCATTACACTGGTGAACGTCTTAAAAAGATCTTAGATACAAATCTATTGATATGAAGGAAAAAAGATAAAATAAAACCTTATAAAGAAATTTTGCCCAAACAGTAATATTTAGAAAACATAATGCTGAGTTCAACTACACTATTACTTAAGGCTCCTACACCACAGGAGAATTTAAGGGTGTATCAATATCCCATCCCTCATAATTCAGTAGAGAAGCTACAGCTTAAAGGTTCTGTGACATGTGGACATCAGTTTTGACGCCTTCAAAGTCCCATGTTGTGAAACATACCAATTGGCTAGAAAAAGTGAATTATTAAAACATCAACAGCACTATCATTAACAGCACTGGCACAGTCCAGGGAAAAAACTTCCCTCTTCTAAGTTACATGGCAACAGTGAAGCAAGTGTTACCTAGGCAGCAGAAGGCTTTCCTCACTAGACTGCAACTCTGTGAAAGGGCTATGCTGTAGCCAGATTATCACAAAATGGCAAACCAACAGATTCTAACATGCATATCTGTACATCCCTTCCAAAATGCTGTCAACTGAATTCTACAAAATGATAAATATAATGCTATACTCCCAGTATTCACTACAATACCAGGGTTAACAGCGGTATGTGAATTATTTCAGATAAGGTTGAGCTTACTCTTCCCAGGCCTGGGACTGGTGGTGGTGGTGGTGGTGTAGGAAATCGCAGGTTTTGAGGGGAGAATCTTGCTTTTGTGCAGTTGTTTTTGTTTCGAGGTGACTGGGAAGATTTTTCACTCTCATCTGTTGAATATGGAGTCTCATTTTCATTCTAGAAGATCAAGACATTTTTAGGAAATGCACTAAAGAGGAGTTCACAGATAACAGTTTTAGTGTGAAAAGGCTTGGAAGTCCCATTCACATCCTTCCCTCTCTCTAGCCCTCCCAGTCCTACTCAGGAATGATTTTATAATCTCACAACTTTATCTCCTCACCATTTTAGCTATGTTATTTTTCACTGGTGAATTTCTTGTTGTCCCCTCCCTTTCTTCCATACTGAGTTCAAGAACTAAAGGGACACTTTCATTCCTTCCATCAGCTTGTGTCTGTTTACAACAGAATCGTGTATCGATTCTCTCTGAACACCAGCAGTGCCACCGGAAACACTAAGAGAAGCTGATTGTCCCGTTTTCTCTTTCCTTTACAAAAGAATCAAAAGGCGTTCCTCACCTCCCCAGAATTCCCTGTCCCATTTACTGTTTCATCGCTGGCTGAAGGAAGTATATCAGACAGGTTCTGCTCCTCCTGATTTCCATATCCCGTGTAAGTAACAACACACGTGCCTCTCTTCTGGTTGATGGAGGCAATAGTTGCCAGGTAGCATCTACCATCCTCAGACCAAACAGCAATGCAACTGTCACCAACTTTCCACTGCAAACAGAAGCAAGAGAAGCGTGTCCATACCTACGCCGACAATCAGAGAAAAGGTGCCTTTTCCTAAATTACTTTTTGTCCCAGCCAGGAGAAAGATGACACCCACCTACAGTGCGGGTTTTTTTGTATTTAGTGGAATTGCTCAATGTAACATATAAGTAAGGTTTATAAATTATCACCCCCACCCCAAAATGTTACTCCCAAGGTGAAGAAGCTGCTTCTGAGTACCGTAGAGAAGTACAACATGCAGTACAAGCACGACTGGCATGTACAGGCGAGCTGACCTGTTTCAAAGGCGCTGTGTTGCTCTTCTTTCTATTTCTGTTCTTTTTATGGTTTTTTCTCTTTATCGCCATGCACTTCTCCTGCTTGTCGGAAGGCTCCGAGCACTCCCCATTCTTTAAGGCATTCTTCGGTAAAAGAAAGGGGGAAAACAATAAACGCCAATCCACCGGCCTCAGCCCCAGCGTGCGGCCACGGCCGCGCCGACCCCCTTACCTTGAAGGAGGCCACCGCCTTGTCGTAGGCCTTGATGAGGGCCGTGTCGTCCCAGATGTCCGAGTCGTCGCTCTGCGGAGGGCACAGAACGGAGGGTTAGCGCGGTGTCCCGGCCCCGCTCCCGCCCCCGCTCCCGCCGCGCTCCCCACCTGCCCGGTGCCGCGCCGGAACAGCACCGCGTCCGCCATGGCCGCGCGTGCGCCCCGGTTCCGGCCGCGCGTGCGCCCCGGTTCCGGCCGCGCGTCCCGCGCCGGGCGCGGCCCCTTCCCGTGTGCGGTGCCCGCCGGGATCGGCCACCGCCTCCTGCGCCGGGAGGGGACGGGGGCGGGGGCGGGGACCGGGGCGGGGACACGCACCGCCGCAGGTCTGAACCCAGTAGCAGCCAGCAGAGGAATTGCTGCTGTATCCAGTGCTGGGCTCCTCAGGGCGAGAAAGACAAGGAGAGGTTGGAGAGGGTCCAGCAAAGGACCAGAAAGATGATTAGAGGTCTGGAGCATCTCTCTTAGGAGAGACTGTGAGAGCTGGGCTTATTTAGCCCAGAACAGAGAAGAGAAGACTGAGAGGGGATCTCATTAGTGCATATAAGTATCTCAAAGGCAGGTGCCAAGAGGATGGTGCCAAACTCTTTTTGGTGGTGCCCAGTGACAGGATGAGGAGCAAAGGCCATAAACTAAGCCACAAGAAGTTCCATCTCAACATGAGGAAGAACTCCTTTACACTAAGGGTGGCAGAGCACTGGAACAGGCTGCCCAGGGAAGTCATGGAGTCTCCCTCTCTGGAGACACTAAAATCCCACCTAGACACATTCTTGTATAACCTGCTGTAGGTGATGCTGCCTTGGCAGGGGCGTTGGACTGGATGATCTCCAGAGGTCCCTTCCAACCCTAATAATTCTGTGAACTTGCTTATTTTCTCACCAGCTGTAGGTATTATGATGCCAGAACCAGCTACGTTTTCCTTCCAGCTCTCCTCAAACTGTGTCAGGGACCTGTCAACAAGCAGCAAATGCACTATAGGATAGAACTGACACAAGCAAAGGCCACAAAGTTCTCTCTTTAGAGATTGAAAACAATTGCTGAGGAGCACATTTAGCTCAGGTAGCTCAGTGTGCAGCTGCAGTTGAGCTACAGGTTAAGCTCTGGGTGGTGAAAGCCCCAGGCAATAGGCCAGGAACTGCACAGGTACCAGCCAGGTGACCAGACACTGAGACACAGCAGGAGTTGAGGACCTCCAAACTTTCCCACCTTTAGACTGTGCGGGTATAAAAGCCCAAGGTTTCCCTTGTTCAGAGTCCTTCCTTCAGAGGCACCAGTTCGAGCTGTTGTTTTGTTATTTAGTTATTGCACCAAGATTAGGTTATATTAAGGATCAGGACATCTGAGACTCTGTAGGAGCAGCTAAACAAGACAACACCAGCCACCTGGATGATAGAAGAAGAAAATATTAAAGCAAAATATTGTGGTCATGAGCAAGCCAGAGCTAAGATTAGCGAGTATGTGAAAAGAATCACAAGGTCAAGCTGGAAAGCCGTTTGAAGCATGGTTGTTGTTCTCTGTGGCTGAAGGCAGCCATGGGAATGTTTGTGTGGAATGTGTGCAGATAAGTAATACCTGGCTGGCTTCATAGCTCAGACCCTTATTCTGTATATAAACGGAGTAATAAAGTTACAAGAAAGCTCTGCCTGGACAAAGTCTCCCGTGGATTCATTTGTTGAAAAGGGTGCTGAGTGAGGGACCTTCGCTGCAAGACTGCTGTGGGAAACCTGGTCTGTGTGAGTGTGGGGTGTGTAGCTGTGAAGGGGCTTTGGTCTCAGCTCAGGTGGTGCAAGTGACTGCCAGAGTGGCTGCTGGATGGTTACAGAGTTCTCCCTTGGTCAGCACACAATACACTCAAGCATGCCTGTGAAGCAAGGGCTGAGTTTTCTCATACTAACTTTTATTCCTGAGGCAGGTTTAAGCACTATTTAAAATAATTTTAGTGATGCAGCAATTTCAAGATCTGCTGACACTGCAATTCATTAATATCAAGCCTGCAGCTGCCTTAGTTAATATCAGCACTAGATTCTTTCAGTTTTGTACACCAAGAGAGTTTGCAATTCAACAGGCAACTTTGCCTATAGTGCAGACTTACACTGCATGTGATATTGCTTATAATATGCAATTCTTAAAAACTTTATTTATATTACACTTACACATATGTACTCTATTTCTCCACTATATTATTCATTCCTTGTGTTCTTGGCAACTTCTTGGAAATCAACTGACTATCAAACATAACCATTTCAGGTTAGACAGTATTTCATGCAACATTTTATTGTAAAAATATTTCAAGATGAGATTTACAGTTCAGACCTCTGAAAGTTACGCACATTCTGAATGAAGCTGTACTTTCAAGAACTGAGACAATCATATTTGGTCTAACTGCAGATTCAGAAATTCTGTTACTGGAACCATTAAGTAAAACTAACAAATGCAGCAAAAGCTGGAGTAAAGCTACTGCTTGGTACTTTTATTCATACACATGCAGAAGAGTGTAGTCAGTTTTGAAACAGCACTCCAGAGAACTAAGCCTATAGTAACCAGAAAATACTCTACACTAATGCTAGTTGAACAACTCTGCACAATAAATGTTTAATCATTTAATGGCCAGACACTTCTATGAATGATCTTTGATCTTCCAGGCCCTTCTGCTTCCCCGATGCACTGTCTTATCCATAGAGGCAGATCATTTCGCTCCTGCCTGCAGAGACTTCCTTTCATTAGCCGCCTTTTGCTTTTGCTGCATGATTTCAGAGTCTCTGTGAAGAAAAAGGGTTGGATATCAGATACTGGCTCACAGTTTTTCTAAGCAGAGTCTCCTCCAGCTTATTTTTGCCCTTTGGCAATCCCCTCTTCAAGAAGAGAAAAAGGTTAGCATAAAACTTCTCAGTTAGCCACGAGCACACTGTTTTTACTACCCCGTGTTTTTTCAGTGCATGCATTATCCAATGAAGCAGACGAGTTACTTGATTAGTAGACCTTATATAATTCTTTCAGTTATAGAAGTAAAGGACACAATGGATCAAACATCTTCAAGAAAGCATTACACAATCTTTTCCTGTTTGTACCAGGCAAAAAGCTGCTCAAAAGAAAGAAAAGCTTTATGGGACTTACAAAAAAGGGACTTACAAAAAAAAAAAACTGTTTAACAGCAGATAGAGCAAAACTTCATCCACGGTTTATGCTCCGGCACATGATTGGACCATGAATCAAAGCAAAGTACTTAAATGCTGTTTCAGCTAAGACACTGGATTATTTCTGACCCATTTCCCCCTCCTTTTCTGCCCAACCATTTCACTCAACTTTGCTAGATCTTACCTCTGTTTTCTCTGAGAAGCAGACAAGCTATCCTCTTTCCTTTTGCCTTTGTGGATCTCCTGAGTTTTCTTCAGGTTCTTTTGGCGGGCAAGTTCACGCTGGTTCCCACCTGTAAGATAATTTATAGTTAAGCAGTTACTACCACTTTGTTTTTTTCCTCACACCATTTGCCTGTGTAGAAGTCTGTTATAAAGGTGGTATGGTGTGGCACAATCTGTAGAGTTGGTATGGCTGCATCTTCCATCAGTGTGTCCCCCCAGTGCACAATAGGAGAAATTAAAGCCTGTTAGTTCTCACATGTACAATTCTAGGTCATGTCCAAGAGTTATTAATTTCAATCAATTTTAAAATTAATTTCAACATTTCTTACTGAAATAAAATGCAGTTTGCCATAAAAGACTGAAGGAAGGCCATCCCACAACAGCCTGGGCAAAATCATGTCAGTAACTCATCTAAACAAGAGTCATCATCTCAGACAAATTTCAGCATCCAATATAGCTTACAAATTAATTCTAGATGGAAAGAACAGCATTAAAATTAATTGCAAATACTACTGAAGAGGTGACCTCAAACTTGACTTTTTTATTTGAAGTCAAGTGCAGTACTTTAGCATGGCCTTAGCAACTGATTAGCATAACTTTCAACAAAAGTGAGAAAAGTAACATTATCTATCTATCATCTATCTATCTATCTATCTATCTATCTATCTATCTATCTATCATCTATCTATCTATCTATCTATCTATCTATCTATCTATCTATCTATCTATCTATCTATCTATCTATCTATCTATCTATCAAGACACAAAACCACATCACTGCCAGTACAGAGGACACCTTTTCAGGGAACAGAAAACTTACCCCAGGACTACCAATCCCATGAACTGCCAACAAGTGAGGTGTGCAATCTGTTTGATCAGACAAGGCACAACACCAAAACTCTCCATCTAAATACTCAGGGTTTTCCAGGCAATGGCCACAGCCATCACAATTGCAAACTCTTTTGCATTAGCTGGCAATCTTTTCTCAGTATTCTCTTCCTTACAGCTCTAGTCTGCTCTAACCTGCCAGAACTGGTTCACTGGCTTGCTATTTCTTCTTGTTCTTCTCCTTTTGGACTCAAAGTGTTCCAGATATGCTAGGCATAATCACTTGTGCTATTATACAATACAGATCACATTTTTCTATGCTCAAAAGTGAAAACTCCATCTACCCGTAACTTCTGTTGTGTTTCTCTGGTCTCTCTCTAGTCTTATGACTACCTATGCCATCTTTCAGTCCTGAAACCAAAAATCTCTCCAGTCTTCACGTGCCTGTAATTTCTGATATATGGAAGCAGTTTAGGACTAGGTCAATTTTAAACAGCAACCTGCTGATATGATCCACAGGTTTGTACTCACCCCATTTCTGAGCTGACAAAGGTACCTGCCATGTCAAGAAGCAGACAAGAGCAACCCTGCAGAAGCAGGGGTTTTGTGCATTCTTCACAACAGTACATGTACTGCCAGAAGTCCAAGTGAAAACAGCCTATTATGCCTGCTAATTCCTGAGGGCTGCTCCTGCCTCAGAAGATACACTTCATCTGCGACAGGACATCAAGTACTACCTTTTGAAAAAGCAAAGAGAACTTCTGCTCATCCTCCTTATTATCCTGTCCCCAAAGATCACCTAGAAGAAGGGCAGCTGTTTGTTCAGGGACTGAAGTGAAACAGCTCTCTATCTCTGGCAGCACTAGTGTTGATTAGAACTTGATGACTCATGAGCAGATGATACATTCCAAGCTATAAATGGTTCCTGGGTTTTGTGGTGCTCAGGAGGCACGAACATCATACGAACAATTCAGCAGCAACAGAAGAGCTCTTCTGTGGTCTTTAAAAAAAAAATCAAGTATCTTCCTTTATCATAAAAAAGAGAGGAAGTCAAAACACACTCCTATTGTCAGAATTCATATAGCAATTACCCTCCACACTTAACCTCAGGCACTTCCTTCCTTTACAAGTGAACACCGTGCATGGTTCCTGCAGTTATTCCATACACACAGCGAGGGTGTAAACTTAGGAACTAAACACAATGGCATCACTGAAAAGCCTGGCTGTCACTTCTGCACAGTAAAGCAGAGCAGGAAGAAAAGCTGAGCAACACAGAATGCACACAAAGCACAGAAGACCAAATAACTATCTGGAAAGAAACTTAGTTGTACCATGCCTGCTTCCAAGTCAACATTTCCAAGGACTATTTGGCCCCATTACTTCACCAGGAATCCTGAATGAGTATCCCTAGCTTCAAGGGAGCCAGTGCTGTTTTCTACATTCTGTAACATCAACCTAATTGTTCCACCAGATGACAATTAAGCTTTCTGTAATGTGAAATTCAAGCATGAACTGCCCTACAAAGGCCAGTACACCCTTCCTGCTTATACTCACGCTTAAGCATCCCCATCCCAGCCTGCCTGTGCAAGACATATGCCTTAGTTCAACCTGTCCTTGCTCTTCAAACTCCAGGGGAAAAAAATACCAAAAATAGCCCTAAACCTGCCACTTTCTCACGTTCAAAATCTGTTCTGTGCACAAACTGTTTTTGATCCAGGTCTTCAGCTGCACTTCCTGCAGCAGAGTGGCTTCAAAACTGTGTATTTTCAAGAGTGAATGTGAAAGCACAGCCTCAAAACTGTGTATTTTTAAGAGTGAGTGTTACAAGCACAACCTCAGTTAAATATAAGCGGTTTCTGTACTGCCAAGCATAATACGCAGAAGGCACAGGAGCGACTCCAGAGCGAGCATCTTGGGTTTGGTTCACAGTTCTCCGCCATTTTAGAGCGGGTCTACCAACAAGACTGCTGTTGAACGCGGTGATGATTCACCAAGTCCTGCTGCCCTTTCAACGACAGCCTTAACAACCGCAACTTAAGTAGCGTAGTATTGAGTATTCAGCACTGATATAAAAGCCCTGTATTTCCATTTCTGGGCGGCAGCCGGGTGTGAAACGGACGGTGGTTGTTTTTCCAGCCCATCACCACCTTTATTCCTCCGTCCCGCCCCGCAGCACAGCTGCGCCAGGAGGCGGGGGAGGATGTTTTCGCCTCCAGTTCTAGACGGCGGCAGGGCTGGGAAGAAGCCTCAGCCCCAGCGCCCCATACCCACGCACTCGCTACGGGCAGGACTTCGCTGCGGGGACGCCAAGCCCGCAGAGACCCAGACACGGCAGCGGCATCACAGCGCGGTGAACTGCCGGCCCCCGGCCGACCCCCGGCCGGGCTGCCCCTCGGTGTCGCGCCCAGGCCTGGAGGCGACTGGGAGAGCCCCCTTCGCTCCCCGACAGAACCATAGGGCAGCCCCACTGAACCCCATCGACACTCACGGGTCATGGCGAGACGCTCAGGCCGCGCACCACCAGCACCACCACCGACACCACCACGGCCGCGCCGGGACACGCCTCTGCTGCTACCGCCGGAAACGTCTGACGGGCCGCCTGCCGCCGCCGGCCCTTATGAAACCTCACTGGCCGCTGACGTCACGGCGGCGCGCGGGCTCGGCCCAATCAGAGGGCTGCGTGCCGTCGCCCCAGCGCCGTGAGGGCTGGAGGGCCGCGGGGCCTCTGCGGAGCGGCCGCCCGGGCCGGGGCATGGGGGGGAGATGAGGAGTGGCTCTGTTTAACGAACTGGTTATGGCGGGCGACGCGGAGGAGAGAAAGCAGTTTAGGGGTGTCTGGACTGAGGGGTGAAGCGCCTTTGGAGTGCTCGGCCGTTACAGGCGGTTTCGGTGCCGTTGTCAGTTGCCCCTCACGGGCTTTCCCCCTCCCGGCCCCTCCTGGATGCGCCCGCCGGCGCACGCCGATGACGTACAGAGGCGCGCCGCCGGGGCGGCACGCCGTGAGGCGCCGGGGCTCGCGGCACTGCCGGGCCGCCGCCGCCACGCGCCGCTGACGCCGCCGAGCGCGCGGGCGGACAGGCGCGCGCCTTTCCCGGGAGCGCCGCCATGTTCCGGCGGGCCCGACTCACGGTGCGGCCCAACGTGCGCGCCCCGGGCAGGGCCGCCGCCCCCGCCCCCGGTACCGGCGGGGCAGACGCGGAGCCCCCGGAGCCTCCGGGCTCGGGCTCCCCGGTGGCAGACAGAGCAGGGGCCGCGGCGGGAGCGTCAGAGGCACGGCGGGCCGAGAGGTGAGTCCCGCCAAGCTCGGGCCGGTGAGGCCGTGTCTGGGCCCGCGAGTCCCCGGGACCGGCCTGCGCAGGGGGAGGCGGGGGCGGCGGTGGGGGCTCTCCGTAGCGCGGGTTGTGGTGCCCTGCCCCTGCTGTGTTTGGGGGCTCGTCCCGAAGAGCTCCTGGGAGACCCCGCGGTCGGTGCCCGGTGTCAGCGCGTACGTCGGACAACGACTTCTGGGTGTTTGACGCGTTCGCAGCTTAAGCAGAACCTGAGCTGCGGTCCCGCAGCAGGTGCTTGGAATGGGCTGCCCAGGGAGGTGGTGGAGTCACCGTCCCTGGAGGGCTTCAAGGAGAGACTAGACGTGGCACTTGGCGCTGTCGTCTAGTTGGCATATTGGTGTTTAGCCATAAGTTTGATTCGATGATCTCGGAGGTCTTTTCAAACCTAATTGATCCTGTAAGATAAAACTGCGAAGCAGGGACCCAGTGTGGTCTGGCACTCGGTTTCTGGCTCTGCAGCAGCCGGGAGCCCCGGTTTGCTGTGTACAGCAAAAATTCCTTGTGCTCCGTAATCGGATGACTTTGATTCTGCATTCCTGCAGCACTTACTCCTTTGTATTCATCTCTCCGTGCATTAACAAGAGAAGACTTTCTAGTATTTTTCCTTTTCGACTGTTCAGTTTTTTAAGTGCTTTTTATTGTAGCGCAAGCATGTTGTAAAGTTGGTCGTAGGACCAGTCCTTGAGGACCTTCCTGTTGTAGTTTAACCCTGACTGGATGCTAAGCCTTTGCTTGCTTCATCACGCCCCCGCCCCCTCCCAGCCCCATGAGATGGGCAGAAAATCAAAAGGGCAAAAGTGCAAGAATCCTCCTGTCAAGATAAAGATAATGTAATATATAAAGCAAAAGATGTGCAAGTAGGCAAAGCAAGATTGGGAACTCATTTACCACTTCCCGTCATTAGGCAGGTATTTTACTGTCTCCAGGAAAGTGGGGCTCCGTAACAGTTACTTGAGAAGAAAAACGTCGTAACTCCAGATGTCCTCCTGTGTTCCTTCTTCCTCGGCTTTTACTGAGGAACATGATGCCACATGGGATATCCCTTTGGTCATCTGGAGTCAGCTGTCCCTGCTGTGTTGCCTCCCAGCTTCTTGCCCATCCCTGGTCTGCTCGGTCATGGGGCACCATGAGAGAAGACCTTGGTGCTATTTAATCATTGCTCAGCAATAGCTGGAACGTGGGCGTGCTGTCAACACTCTTGTGGTCACAAATCTGAAACAACAGATCAGCTACTGTGAAAGGGGTTAACTCTGTCCCCACCAAAAGCAGTACAGACCAGTTTTTCAAGAAATTTCCTCAGTCTGATGTTTACTTTTCACAATAACCTCCCCACTTCTTTTAAGTTCTGCATCTTTCATGAATATCTCTATTCTTTTGGTTGAAGCTTGTCCTTTATAAGAGTGAGAAGGTCTCATAGTCTTCTGTTTCTTGTGACTAGAAATTCTGATATCAGAGTAGTTGGCATGGCATGTCTTTAGGAAACCCATGCTGCCTCTTTTTCAGCTTGTGTCTTACATCTTCACTTCTTTTGCATTGTGCTTTAAGGATGTTTTTCTTTCAGGTTTTATTTATAAAATTCCTGTGTAACAAAGATTATATTACTGGATCTTTTGCAATCTGATACTTTGTTCTTAAATGAAAACATTCTTACTATTTTTTACTTTTGTGATACTGTTGCTAATTCAGGAGATTTGTTAAAGACTTTTATATTTGTAGTTTAACCAGTGCTTCAGTGGAATATAACATTAGGTTTCAAAACTAGATACCGGTGCTATTCGTAAAGGCACTCTGATCTATTCTCATGGCTTAAAAAACAGACCTTTGCCATATAACCTTATGACAAGGTAGCCCACCCACTGATAAAGGGAAGCCAGTTGATTAATCTTTTTGGATTTCAGTAAAACCTTCAATCCTGTCTCTCACAGGATCCTTCTGGCAAACTGTCCAGCCCACAGCTGGATAAACACATCATGTGGTGGGTGAGCAGTTGGCTCACGGGTCGAGCACAGAGGGTAACAGTGAATGGGGTGACATCAGACTGGTGACCTGTCACTGGTGGGGTTCCACAGGGCTCCATGTTGGGCCCTGTGCTCTTCAACATCTTCACAAATGACTTGGACACAGGACTGGAAGGGATACTGAGCACATTTGCAGATGACACAAAACTGTAAGGAGCTGTTGACACCCTCACAGGCAGGGAGGCCCTGCAGAGAGACCTCGACAAATTGAGGACTGGGCAGTCACCAACCATATGAAGTTCAATGAGGGGAAGTGCCAGACCTGCATCTGGGATGGGGCAACCTTGGATGTATGGACAGACTGGGGAGTGAGATGCTGGAAAGCAGTGCCATGGAAAGGGCCCTGGGGGTCCTGGTCGATGGCAAGTTGAATGTGAGTCAGCAGAGTCCTGGCAGCCAGGAGGGCCAACCCTGTCCTGGGAGCATCAGGCACAGCATCGCCAGCCAGTCCAGGGAGGGGATTGTCCCGCTCTGCTTTGCAGTGGGGCAGCCTCACCTTGAATATTGTGTGCAGTTTGGGGCACTGCAGTATAAGAAAGATATTAAGCCATTAGAGAGTGTCCAAAGCAGGGCAGTGAAGATGGTGAAGGGTCTTGAGGGGAAGCCGTGTGAGGAGCAGCTGAGGGCACTTGGTGTGTTCAGCTGGAGAAGAGGAGACTGAGGGGAGAGCTCATTGCAGTTACAACTTCCTTGGGAGGGCAAGAGGAGGGGCAGGCACTGATCTCTTTTTTGTGGATCAGTGACAGGACCTGAGGGGATGGCATGAAGCTGAGTCAGGTTGGATATCAGGAAAAGGTTTTTCACCCAAAGGGTGGTTCACTGGAACAGGCTCCCAAGGGAAGTGGTCACAGTGCCAAGCCTGACAGAGTTCAAGGAGCTCTCAGCCACATAATGCAATTCTTGGGGCTGCGCAGGGCCAGGAGTTGGACTTTGGTGATCCTTGTGGGTCCCTTCTACGTTAGGATATTCTGTGATTTTAAGTAACAGGCACATAAAATATTTTTCTCAATAAATATAAAAAATACCCAAGCTTACAAATCCACAAAACCATACCCTTCTGTTAAAAAAAAAATAAAAGAAGAGCAATTGTAAGAGAATTAAAACTGTTTTAAAATTGTTCGTGTTGAATGTGTTTGCCAACACTTTGGAAGGTGTGGGATGTGTTTAAGGGTGAGCTTCTTTGGAGATGTGTGTATTTGGAAAATATTCTTCTTATAAGAAGAGACCTGTGAACCACTGGAGAACTGTGGTGGGTTCCACAACTCAGCTGGACAGAGAAGGTGGTATCCAACTTGAAATACTGGGAGACTCCCAGGGGAACTTACAGTCCTGGGAGAAAGTAGAAAAGGCATGGGTAAGAGCTGCTCCCTTCCTTCCCCTTTTCGATCACCTTAAGTTCCAATAAAAAGCTGGTTCTTAAAGTTCTTGGTTGCTTTTGAAGGTGTACAGCAACCAAACAGGAGAGAGCAAATAGGGATTTTTTGCAGAGCAAACAGTGTTAGCTTTTTGGGGAGCTCTAGATATCTTTCTGGGTGATGCATTTTAGAAATTGGTTGTCTGGGTGTCTCTGTCTCTAAGGAAGAGTGGATTTGACAGAAGTCACACAGTTTGATTTCCTGGGTGAAGTATTTGATGACGCATACAGCACAATGTGTGTGTTGTGTAGTGTGCAAGAAAAGTAAAGGTAAATGTGAAAATGTCTTGCATATCTATCCTTCCAAATTACAGCATTCCTTCTCAGCTGCTCAAATCTGTGTCTGTAGCATCGGTTACTTTACCCTGTTTTGTTTTCAGGGAAGTGAAAATTTTCAAAGCATAAGATAATTCTTTTTTTGTTTCTGCTAAATTGTATTTAACTGTTCAGAAATCCAGCGTGGCACTCTGATTAAAAACTCCACAAAACACAGGTGGTACGGAGAAGGTGAAAAAGAATTACTTTCCACTGTCTCCTGCTGTACAAAGAACAGAGGGTGTTGAAAGGAATTTGCAAGGATCTCATTCAAAACACACAGGCAGGCACCGTGCAATAACCCCTCTAAACTCCTCGCCCAGCGATGTTCTGCATACTAGAAATGTTTATGAACTCACAGTGTGGGACAAACTGATTCAACCATTTAACAGAGGCTGCTAAATGCAAACCCATTATATGCAGCATTTGCCTGAATCACAGGCAATAGCTGGAGAGGATTTAGAAAAGTTTCTCTGTATGTTTATGCTTTTCTTATATTCCTTGAAAGGCATTTGCACTTGATCATTTTTGAAAATGGCTAAGTGAACTATGGGTGTGGTTGTCCTCATATACAGAAACAGGGCATAGTTCCAATGTAAAATTAAAAAAAAACCTCCTTATGACTCAGTTATAATTCTGCTGCAGTCTTACTGTGAGCAACAACCATGAAGCTGAACCCTGGAGGAGTCAGCAGATTTGGGGAGATCATAATTGTTTGCAATTTTACTTGCACTTTGAAAGTTATTTCTGTGTAAATGATGGGAAAAGTACTTATATAAGAAGGCTTTCCAGGGAAGCTAAGAGTTGTTGATGTATTAAGTGTAAGCAGCAGCCAGTTTGCCTGCTGAAGTTTTTCTGAAATTCACAGTTTACATATCATCTACTTGCAAATGTGTATGTAAGAGGAATGTTAACATTTATTGTAATAAAAATCATCAAACTGCTTGTGGCATACAGCTTTATTAAAATGTTTTTAGTATATCACCTGTGTTATGTTATATATTTACTTATATATATTTTTTTTTTATATTTTTTTATTTATGTTTTATAAAGCTTTATTGTACCGGTATTTTTAGCTGAAAGGAGAGAGCCTTCCAAAAAAACAAGTGGGGGGTGGAGACATGTTACTCTTGTGGGCTAGTTGATGAGTAATTAATATTAGAAAATAATATGCCAGCTCTTATAGCTGATTGGTTTATGAAGAAGTACCAGCTACACCTTGATTCTAGCATTGCTTTTTGCATATAACAATTTTCCTGTAGCAGGGGGTTTATACTGATTTACCCATAAACATATCTCGAAAGTAAGAGTGAAAAATCTGTCACCATAAAGTCCTTCAGAATAATCTCTTAAATTTTCCAGCGATGACAAGGCTGATGGTTCCAATGATGCTGGGGAAGCTAGTAAACCTGCAGAGATGCCTACGCAGAGAAGAAAACGGATCTCCACCATGCCAAATCTTGTCAAACCCAGAGCTGGACCTTCATCTGCTCAGCGTTCTGCACCAAGACTGCAGAGGCGAACATCACAGGCTCCCGATGGCGGTGTTTCATTTCAGAAGGATTCCCCCACACCAGAAAAGAGTAGTGCTGAGAGCTCTTTAAAGTCTCCCATGCTTCCTGAGAAGAAAACACCTGTGCCACAAGTGCCACAGTTTTCACCGCTAAAGAAATCGGTGAATAAAGAGCAAACTGTAGGTGTGGCTGCTCAGAAAAATGATGACAGTTTGCAGAAGAATGTACCCTCTCCCCTCAAGGAGAGACCAACACAGGAGAGATCAGAAACACAGGAGGAAAAGCTTCCTATGAAACCTTCTCCTGAAAAAGAAAAACGAACGTGTTCTGACCGTGAAAGGATCCTCAAAGCTCGGAAGTTAAGAGAAATGCTTAAAGAAGAGCTGAAGAAAGAGCGAATGGTAAGACCTCTGTGCTGAGCTGTGCTGGTTTGTAAAGGGCAAGGCGTGTGATTCACCTAGCATACATCATCTCTTTGCATTAGTGGTTTCTGGTGGTCATCAGCTGCTCAGTGCTAATAGTCTGTGATACCTCATAACTCCATATGGGTTTGTTCTGTTTAGAAGCAGTAGTAGAACTTTGTCCACTAATAATATGAATTTCACAAGAAATTGTGTATTGTTTCATTTGATTAGACCCTTTTTGACATTACACCTGGTATTATTTTATAGTCAGCATTCGAATTTTAAAGTTTCACAGTTGGTATTAAGTAGGGAAGTGTGCTGTAAGAAGCTTGGGATTTGGTATTTCTCATAGTGTTTCAAGTGGATCATTGTCTGAGTTCTGTAATTTTGAATAACTTTTAACTTTTATGTTTGCCAGATGGTGGATTTCTCTGAAAGGTTGTCTCTGATGCCCTCTTGACAAAGGGACACTTTTAATATAATCGTTTTTTTTTTCTTGGTGGTGGTATGTGCGTGTGAACAATAGAACTCCCTGAATGGGGTACTTTATAAGCAAACAAAAATATTAATTTGTGAAATGTAAAGTACTTCCGGGGTGAATCTGAGTGGGTTTGTTTTTATTTTTTGTATGGAAGAAGTTGAAACACAGGCCCCCAATAATCGAAGGGCGTTCTCCACCAGATCGTTCTAAGATGACCATGAGAGACCTGATATACTATCTGCCAGAAAACAATCCTATGAAGTAAGTATGACTTCTTTTTCTCTCTCCTTAAGCTAAATTATTTTTCTACCTGTTTAATACTTAAATCTGGAGTATTAGCACAGATGCAGTGTTATTGCAGTGGGAATAAAAGCTTCTATTTCAGATCTACTTACTCCTCATACAGAAATGAGAATAGTGATTAATGTACTTGTTGAAATACACAAACATGAACCTTTCCCAAGTATTAATTTATCTCTGTAGAAATACAGAATAGTCAAATTTTGTTTTTTCCCCAGTTACCTGCTGTGAGATTTTTAGTTATGGCTGCTAGGAATGTTATGATTGCCTGCCAGGTCTAATGGACTCAGGAAGCTAAGCATTTCTCCTTCCAGGTGCTGAAGTGCAAAATGCACTGCAGGACCCATGAGGTCTTTACATTCCATCTGGATGGATGTAGCTGCTGCTGTTCTGTTTACATGTTTCACCAGCAGCAAGGCTGAGTGAGCATCCCAGGGGTGCACAGACGCAGGGAACACTAATGCAGCTGGCTGCACAGACTGCCACAGACAGAGCAGGGCCTTTTTCCTGCAACTACCAAAAGCAATCATATAAATAGAAGTACGGTTATCCAAATCCTGTTCTTTCTCTTAGTAGCTGATAAGTTTTCTGGTACTGTCTGTTATCACTTGCTTGTTAATGTTTGTGTGTTTATGTGTTTTATTGATCATTTTCCTTGTTATTTTTTCTTTTACACTGAAGAGTCCTTCAGGAGGTAATGAGCAAGATACTCTTACATTTCTTGTACCTTACAATGGATTACTGCTCAAAGTATCTTTTTTTTGTGCTTGCTGACACAAGAAAGAGCAAAATTCATTAAGCATTAAGTGGTTGTTTAGTTAGACTTAAGTCTAGATGTGATAACAAAGAATGGACAAAAAAAAAGCTTTGTGGGTTTTTTGTCCATTGTCTAATAAAAGCCAGGTTTGTGGAATGAAGCAGAAATGTATCTATATAAACAATCATCTCAAGCTTTTTATGAAATTCCAGGTCTTCACTGGCAGAAGAAAAGAGAACAGAAAAAAATTCTGCGCTGAGTCATCTGAGAGGGTTAGTCTTGGTGGTGAAGTATAGTCAAAAATTTTCTGGTATTAAAAAAAACATGTTTCTGTGGTAATACAGAATAAACCTATTTTTTTAATGTTTCAATATCACAGCCCTTATTTATAAGAAATTGTAATTTGGGAATGTAGGCTGGTTAAAGAACATTTTGCTTTCAGTATTACATTTTTGCATATTTCCATTTTACAATAGAATGAAAAGCTGATTTCAGAGTTTATGTATTGACTAACTCGTTGATGTGTTGCTTTGCTGAGTGGTTCATTAAATTGGTGAATGTCTGGTATACTGAGCAGCAATTCAAAACTGTTTTTGCTTGCTGTCTTAAAAATTGTAGGCAGGAGGAGAAAAGTACTCTTGGTCATGAAGAAGAGGAGGAGGAAGAAGAAGAGAATGGGGAGGAGAGTCAGGATGGCCCACTTCTAGTTCCTCGTGTGAAAGTGGCAGAAGATGGTTCGATTATTCTGGATGAAGAAAGGTAACCAATCCTGTGCCTGTCTCATGGACAATACATACTGCATTGCAGCTTAGTTTGGGGATAGAGAACAGTATGGGGGCGAGCATGAGTATGTATTTGTGTGTTGAGAGCTGAGATGCACTTACTTAGGAAACAGTGCAAGTATGTGGCAAAGGAGCAGCAGTTCTCTGCATCTCAGTAGTGGCAGACTTTATAAGAAATGTTTTCGGAGAAGGAGATAAAGAGGAAAATGTATTTCATTACAGAGAACGAACACTGAGGATTTGTCAAACTTTCAAATGTCTTCTATTTAGCTGACTGTTTTGTTTCTTAGAGTTAACATGTATCTGCTTACTGTTACTTGGTTTTCAGTATGATTTGCTCCAGCTTTGCATTTTGCGTGTTGCTGCTTTATTCTTCTGTGAGTGTTTTCAGAAAATTTGCTTAGCATATGACTTTTAAAAAGTAGATTATTGAATTATTGAGTTCCCCAAAAGTATTACTAGCATGAGATTTAGGCCAAGGTTTAAGGGTAGAGCAGGCCTGGTAAAAGAATTTGAAAGTGTTCTAGAAGGATATTGGGAGGCTCTTGTGGTTTTGCAAAATAAATTTCTTGAATGTTAAGAAGTCTTTTTTTAAAGATATTAATTATGTCTAAAGGATAAAAAAGGATAAAAAGGATAAAAAGGAAAAAGCAAATTTACTTACTTACAGGCTGAGTAGGGTAGTGATTTCTTGCTGCATTCTCCCATTAAAGTACATGTCAATGTAATTTTTAAACTTAGTTACAAAGTACAAATGCTCGCTTGTGGCATGAAAAATTTGAATATGTGTCTTATAAACATCTGCTGTGTGTCTTCTTAGCAATATTTTCAGATAAGTCTCTTTGTGTGTTTGCTATTCCAGCTTAACTGTAGAAGTTCTAAGAACGAAAGGTCCATGTGTTGTAGAAGAAAATGATCCCATCTTTGAGCGTGGCTCTACAACTACATATTCCAGCTTCAGGAAAAGTTTTTACACAAAACCGTGGTCAAATAAAGGTGAGTATATTTTTGGTTTAAAATTTCAAGTCTGCAGTAAAGTCTTGCTTTTCCACCTATGCTTTATGCTTAACTTCTTTTTTTTCCCCAATGGAGTAAATGGATCTACTTATGTGTCATGTAGTGTCAACCCTCCCAACTTCTACAACAAGAAGAGCTATGATTTTTACTGTGAAAATTGGTATATTTAAAGAATCCAGTGCCTTATTATATATTATATATAGGCTACCTGTGATTTTTTTTTTCTGTCATGGATGTTTAATGCTGAAAAATGCTAGTCTGCTTTATCAAAAGCATTATTTTTGATTCTAGTGTACAGATCAACTGCTCTGTATGGAGCAGTTAGTACTTCTTAACTTGGTTATTCCAACCTGGGCAGGAATAAATCACAGAAAGTATCTCTGGACTGATTTCAGTGTAAATAGACATCTGTTCTTATGAGAGGGTGGGTTGTTTTTTCTTTTTTTTATTACTCCTGCTGTGAATTGGTTATTATCTCTAGGCTGACAACACCATTGCTAGACCTTTTACAATTGGGAAGGACTTTTTACACCTGTAGATGGAAAAATTTAGCTTCAGAATTCACTGCTCCTTTTGGGAAGAATTGACTGTGCACTCTTTTCCTATTAAATAATAGTGGTGTTTTACGTGGTGTTTTTCTGCTTTCTGTTTGTGCTTGTGTTCATAATAAAAATGGACGTTGACAATTTGGGATTGGTTAGTTTGATTTACTAGCTTTACAAAACATATTTCACACTCTGCAGTTTTAACATGTTAGACAATTCTTTCTGTTGATAGTTCATTCAGCAAATGTTACTAGAGGTACGTAGGTAAAATAACACATATACTCCAGCTCACCTGGACTTGCAGCTACGGTAGGTAAACTTGAAGTTACTGATCTCATAGCATTGAGTCTGCAAGGTGTTTTTATTTCTGAGACCAAGGAGGATGGTTTAGTAAATGCTTAAATGCATATGATATTTTTTCTTATTTTTATTTCTCTAGAAACAGATATGTTCTTTTTAGCTATCAGCATGGTAGGAACAGACTTCTCCTTGATTGGGCGGCTGTTTCCTCATAGAGCCAGAGCAGAAATCAAGGTAAAAATTAAAGCACTCAATAAAGCAACTAAACATCTGGTTTTGCTTTTCTTTTTCTCATTTGCATTCCCATGCTTCCTCTGTTAGTATTGATATTTTTGATGCTACTGCGTCTGTAGTAGTGCTTTCTTTAATACCTGTTTCAAGAGGTTGTAAGCATCTGAAACATTAATTTGCTGTTTGAATTTTGATCGATGTATCTAGTAAATCTAGCATAGTTAGACACAGTTTGTCTTTATTTTAAATGAAGAGTGATGATAAGCATAAGTGGCTGTTTGGTGGTGGTCTTCCGTGTTGTTTCTTTTGTGGCATACAGCTGGGGAAGTCTATTATTGAAAGTCAGGACAGAGGTATTGAAAGTAATAAAAGCAGTATATCTTGTGATATCTACTGGTGACAGATTTTATATTTAAAAATTAATTACAAACTTATGTTCTGTGAGTGTCTATGTAAATTCAGCAACTTCAGTTGACTTGCATTGAAGGCTTATCTTGGTCTGCCATTTTGTATAACATGCTGTTACATTTCTTGCTTAATGAAAAGACAACCGTATGTTTGCTTTTAGAACAAGTTCAAACGTGAGGAAAAAGCTAATGGATGGAGAATAGACAAAGCTTTCAGTAAGTAAAGTAAATGTACCCCACCCTACAATGAGTCATTAAATGGTAGTCTATTTTCACAGTAATTTTTGTACTTTGCCTTGCTTGAATTAATTATAAGGAAGTTTTTGCTCATAGGTGAGTCCAGTAGCTGTGGAATCTTAGGTTTTTATAACAGGCATGGTTCACAGTGAAGATCTTGAGGTTTATTTTCTTTTTTAGGTGTCTGCTTAACGAGATTAATATAAACTTTCGTATATATATTCAGTTGAAGGTTATTCTGATTCATGGGAATTTCTAGCAAGGTTGTTTATTGTAAACTGCTTTGAGAGTCCTTTAAGAATTTTTTTGTTAATTGAATGAGGTACATATGTCCTAGAGCAACATGTTAATACATTATTTGATAGTATGGTACAATTTGAGTATTTGTCAGGTCTTAAATTTTCTGAACTACTTAGTTTTGTAATTTGGGTTTTTTTTTAAAACCAATCTACCATAATCCATGTTACCTTTTTGTCAACATTAGTCCCTGCTCAAGTGATACAGAAGATATTTTTCAGAAGAACGCTCTGTTGATATAACTGTTGCTTTTTAATATCATGTCATATACCACTGATTATTTTACAAACCTGAAACTCAAAAAAATCATGAACTTTGAAATCTGTTCTATTTCTTTGCTTTAATCTGATAGAAGAAAAACGACCCTTTGATTTTGAATTCTTTGCCCAGCTGCTTGAGAAGGTCTTAGCAGATGAGGAAAAGAGGAAACAAAAGACTGTTAAAAGCCAGAAGCCAAAGGAAAGGAAGTCACCAAGGCCTCGGAAGAAGTCAAAAGGTACTTTAAAAGAGTGCTTGAGGTGGCATTACAGAACAGTGGTCAGTAATGTGTTACTAGATGAAAGATCACTTAGGGAATCTTTTCCTTCTCTGTTGTGAACGGGGCAAGAGGATCCTAGCCTCATAGTATAACTGTGCAGGTGTAGTTTACTGATGTGTGGGATGGTAATAATTACTAACAGCAGAAACGTGAGACTGCAGTGAAATAAGTGCTCTTGTGCAGTCTGAAGCACTGCTGTTCTAATTTACCAGTTGATAAGTATCTCTGTGAGTTGCTAATGAATTCACTTGTAGAATCCTTGAGCCAAAATCATATTTTTGGCAAGCTCTTCTGTGATTTATTTTAGATATGAATTACATTTAGAACCCTCTTCTTTTGAGGGTTCTGTTTCTCCTTTAAGAGTAGTTTGCCTTCCTGAATCTGAAGAGTGTGATTCTTTTCAGAGACTTTTATAAAAGTTGTTTTATCTTTCTTGTCTGTTCAAAATAAAGATTATGTTTAATTACCGTGTTTAATTGCTGTAATAGTGTCTTAATTACTTTAGTACCTGGGAAGGGACCTTTCACCTTTCTGCCTAAATTAAAAACAGTTATACTGACACCATTTCATAAACATTGTGCTAATTCTATGGGGTTGTTCACTTGTTTGTTCCATAAGGACCCATTCTTTTTTAAGTGGTATTGTGTAACAAACAAGTGAACAACCCTTTTAAAGGGGATGCTAGCTAGGAAACAAAATCAGTGTTTAGTTCTTAAAATCAAAATAGTTGCTCTTTTCTATAGCCTTGGTTTTTGGATTTGATTAAGTAAAATATCCCATCTGTTAGGACTTAACAGCCATATAAAGAAATTCTGTTTGTACACTTCATTGATAGATTAAAAGTACTTAGTGTGTAGAGCAATGTGAGTATGCTTTTCTACTTCTCTTGCATTTTGGAGTTTTAATTACAGGGGAACAAATTCATTTAAGAGTAATGAAAAGGACAAGGAAAGGTTCTTGTGGTTTATGTTCTACATAAATACAGGATCAAGACAAAATGTCCTTAAAACAGTAGAGAGGAGAATTTTAGAATCTCATTAAACCCAAAAAATAACTTGTCAGTTACTAGCTAGACAATATTTCAGCTTTCTTATGTAAGGAAGCACGATCAACTGCAAAACATTTCATGGTAAAAAATTACATTTTCATGGCATATATTCTGCAACCATCATCACCTCTTTCTGCAGAGATATGATAATTCTTTCTGGAATAGCAATGTCTGTTTTCCCTGAATCCAAATGTAACTGTGTAATCTGCTAAAAAACATAGGAACAATAACATTTACTAAATTTGCTTTACATCCCATATTGACCTTCCCCTTGTGAAGTGTCCTGGGTACAGAATGTGTTTTGCGTTTAATGTTGAAGTTAATCTGTGCTGAAGCTTTTCTGTTAAGTCAGTGACTGCCTTCTCATGGTCCTGCCCATATGTCTGGCAGTATATTGGCAGTGATGTACGAATACACAAGATGTTGCTAATAAAAATGCCTGTGCTGTTTATGGCTGTGTATTACTTCACCAGTCTATTAACCAGGAACCATAATGTCTCAGTAGCAAAAGCTGCCAGCACAGGAGCTGCTAATGATCAAGATGAACTTCAGGAAGCCAGAATTTCTGATGAAGAAACAGAAGCAGACGGTGTGACGGCTGAGAAAGAAAATGAGGAATCTCTGGGCATTTCTGAACAGGCAGAAGAACAGGTTGCGTTAGAAGCATTAGCAAAAAAGAAGAGAAAGAGGAAGAGAAAAGATGATCTTGAAGAGGAGGTGGAGAATATTCCAGAAGAAATGTCTGTCCCTTCAAAAATTGCTGAAGAAGGGAAATCCTCTAACAAAAGTAAGAGGCAAAAATGCTCAAATGTTCAAATATAAATTTTATATAAAGACATTGTGAACTTAAAAAATGAGAATTTGGTCTTTAATTTCTATTGCTGATCTGCCTTCGGAGGTTGTGGAACAATGCCTTTCAAGATCAGCTTTCTTACTAAATCTAAAATCTATTTTAGCTGAGAACAGTTATCTTAAATCTTAACACTTGGTCTTTTTCTACTGGGATTTTTGGTATTAAATTTACTCTTCTTCACTGCAGCTAGGATTTGAGAATTGGAATTTGAAGATGTTTCCCAGAATGTCCAGATTGATTTAGTTCTTATTAATTCTCAGGGAAAAAAGTGGTACATGATACAAGCAATGATAGTCATACGACTTGTAGAGAAGAACTGGATTGTGCTATTGAAGGAAAACAAGATGAAACTGCTGTCACAGAGGAAGAGAGATCAGAGTCCTGTTTACCAGTGACCGACCAAATGGAGAGAGAAGGTGGTGTTGATTTATGCAGGTAATGTTTATAATGGAAAGTTTAGGCAAAATAAAAGAGTTAAAAGTTTTAATTTTGGTTTTATTTATTCATATTAACTGCCACAGAATGTGCAGGTTTTTGGTTTCTGAGAACTGTCCCGGGTTTTAGTAAGCTGTTTATGATTTACACAATCAAACATATGAAAATATTCTCTGCCTTGATGGGCTGCACTTGCAAAATTGATGTACATTAATACTAAAGTCACTTACAAAACTGATTGCATTCTTTTTGAGTGTTTAGGAAGAGCATTGGTTTATCCGAACTCCTAATATTTCTCTTCGAGCACTGGTTGATAATGTTGCTAAGTAGTGTTGCTATATGCTTGAAAAATTTGTCTGTTTTTAATAAAATGGTTCTTGTGGAAAAGGAATGTTGCTTAGACTTTATTTTTGCAGAATATGGGTGGGAGGCTAGCTTTTGTTTTGTTCAATTTTGGGCATACTTTTACTTATAAGAAAGTGAATGTTTATTAGACTTGATATATGTGAAAGTGGTAAATGTAAAAATTCATTATGAAACTGTGAGTGCAACTTGAGAGTCTTGCATGTTAGTTCTATTTAGCTGTATTGCGATTAAAGTTTCTGAGAATCTGTATAAAATAACAATGTCCTTTAATACCTCATTAGAAACATATGAAGGAACAGCTATTTGCCTTTGAACTCAGCATAGATGGTCCCTAAGGATAAGAGGAAAGAAGCTTCTGCATACACTGTTCTTGTTAAAGTTTGTTTTTTAAAAACAATCTAGTCTAGAATAATCAGATCAGATTTAAACATCATCTTATAATAGCAGTGCAAAAGTACAAAAGTTGTTTTAAAGCTCTTATTCTGCAAATATCACTAAAACTTGTAGATTCTCTGTAACATAGATACTTATGTCGAAATTGCGTTGTTTTGCTGTGCAACTTGATCTATCTGTAAACACTAATAGCTTTTTTTTGTAAAAATACACTAATGTTGCTGTATGCTTGTATTTATTTCAGCTTTGAAGATGTCAACAATGTTATATTAGAAACAGAATCAGCTAAACCGAGGACTGGGGATATTAGAGATGATACATCACAGGAAAGCCAGATTTCAGAGTTACCAGTTACAAAGATTAGAAGCCAAGAAAGGCAATCTGAAGAAACTAGAGAAACAAAGGTATTTTTATTTTTTATGTAGTTCTTCTCAAGACCTTGCCCATTATCATTAGAAGAGGTTTGTAAATTAAATCAAAGCCATTTTTTGATTGTTTTTGTGATGATTTCACCACTGGGTGGACAAAAGTCATCAGGTCTAAGAACATCACCAAAATTTAAATAGTATCAGTTTGGCTGGGTTTAATGGATTGTCTGTTAACCTGAATTTATTCAGAGAGTATACTGTGCATGCTTGTCATAGACAAATAAAACAGCAGAACAGTTTAATTATCCAAAAGTGAAGCATTGCAAAATGAACAATTAAACCCTGGAGCAGGATTTTGCTGGCATACGCTTACTAGTACGATGTTGGAAACTTATTTGAGTGGGGACAGCATTAGGTTGTTTGTGCTGTCTCAGAGTGGAAACCTCTGTGAACTCTTGTCCACTGTAGTGGCTACCATGGGGTGTTCCAGGAATGATATAGGAAACTGGACCAGGATTGAATGATCTCTCCTCAGGTATGTTCTAATGAGGTCCAGCAGTTTAGAAACTTCTGGAATTGCATCTGGTTTATTTTGAAGCCCTTGATGCACCACTTACTCATGATTTTGTCTAGCTGCTTTTTTTGCATCTACCAGTACTTCTGTGATGAATTGCATATTACAGCTGAGATAATTATTTACTTAATTAAAAAAGGGTATTCTTTGGATTGTTTTAAGCATGCTGCATGGTAGTTTAATATGCGCAATACTTCTGTTGTTAAGTTCCTGTTCATCTTTATGATATTCTTGTTCATCATCTTCAAGCTATTCTTGTTTATAATGCCATGTCTCCCTCTCTCTAACAATATTGTTTTCAGGGTGAAAAGTTTTAATCTTACATTTCTCCTCATACAGAGAAAGTTCCATTCCCTTGATAATTCTTCTATCCCGGTTTCATTGTAATTTTTGGAATGTCATATCTAAAAGGCTAAAGAACAAATAATTCGCCTGTTGCATTAGGGAAACACTAACATGTAGAATTTCCTAATATCTCACCACAAACTTTCCCCTTAAGATCATTCTTCATCTTAGAAAGTACAAAAGAAAGGGAGAGCAGTAAAGAGTGTCTACCCTGACTTCAGTAAGGCTTCTATCACTGTCTGTCTCCCCTAACATCCTCTTGTAAGGGAGCTGATGAACCATGGGCTGGATGAGCAGACAAGGAAGTGCACTAAAAACTGTCTGAATTGTTGGGTTCAGAGTTTTATGAACAATGGTACAAAATCCAGTTGGAGACCAGTAACTAGGAGTGTACCCTGTGGGTCAATACTGTGTCGAATCCTGTTCAACACCGCCCTAAATCATCTGGAGGATGGGGCTGGGTGTAACCTCAGCAAGTCTACAGATGAGGCAGAGCTGGAAAGAATTGCTGAGACACCGGGAGAGTGTGCTGGCATCCAGAGGGACCTGGAAAGGCTGGAGATAGGGGCCGACAGGAACCTCAGGAAGTTCGACAAGGGGAGATGCCAAGTCCTTCCCCTGGGGAGGAACAACCCAAGGCAGCAGCACATGCTGCAAGCCAAGCAGGTGGAAAGCAGCTTTGCAGAAAAGAACCTGGGGGTCTTGGTAGCCTCAGAGTTGAAAAAACAGCTGGACTGCATTAGGAGAAGCGTTTCCTGGCGTATTGACCAGTTCTGGGCTCCCTGGTAGGAGAGACACGGACATACTGGACACAGCCTGTCCAAGGGTCTTAAAGATGGCAAAGGGATCGAAGCATCTCTTGTAAGATGAAAGGCTGAAAGAGCAGGAATGGCTCAGCCTAGAAAGAAGGCTCAGGGGGATCTTCAATAGCTACATGAAAGCCTAAAGGGAGGATGTGAACACAACAGACCCAGGCTTTTTCTGGTGGTGCCCAGTGCCAGAACAAGAGACAAAAGAGACAATGGGCAAAAAATAGAAGAGAAGGAGGTTCCTTCTGAGGATCAGAAAATACCTTTCCACTGTGAGGGGTACTAAGCCCTGGCACAGGCTGCCCAGAGAGACAGGGGAGTCTCCAGCTTTGGCAATATTGAAAAGCTGTGTGGACGTAGGGCATTGGGCAACCAGCTCCAGGTGACCCTGCTCGATCAAGAGAGTTGTACCAGAAGACCTCTAGCAGACCCTTTTAGCCTCAACCATTGTAGGAATCTTGTTTCTGCTCTTCTTTACAGTAAAAGTTTATTGTTTCTTTTCTACAACATTTTTTTTCTTACTCAGAACAAAGACATACATCACTCACATAGACCAGATGAAAAACAAAGTGCATCAGAACGTGGTTCTCAGTCTGAAATCATGTAAGTAGAATTATCTTACCTTGCAGTGGTACTGGAAATAAATCTGTGTCTACTCAATTTGGATATAATTCTGCTTGACCATAGCAAGGTGAACTAGAACAGAAATCATGATAACTTGTTTTCCGTATATGATGAAGTTTTTTGATAGAAATTTTGATCACTGAGGAGCAATTCATTGAACTAAAACTTAAATGTTAGTGGGAACAGGGAAGAAGACTTAACTAAGTTTAGAAAAAGAAATCTAACCTATCTGAAGTCAGCAAGAACAAGAGATGAATTTCTGCTACTTTGTGGGTGAAGCTTGCTTGTGAAAGTTGATTTTGTTTTTTTAATGAAAGGGCCTCACTTAATTCTTTGACATTCATAATTGTCCATCAAAACTTATTAACTATATGCATTATGTTTATGGTGTATTCCTTCCTTCCTGTTTGGGCACTTTTGCTCTTTGGAGCTCAGAGCAAGAATTGAAGAAGATACTCCAAGATGTCTCTGTCTTACTTGCACTCCTTTATGAAGTTAATCTTTGTGACTATTTCTTACACTGAGCAGTGGTATTTAAAGAAGTCTGTGCCTTAAGTTTTCCTTTTTGCGTGATCATCGATTTCTTATTCCATGATATAATTTTTAAAGGTGATTTATGGATGGGCTACTAGTTCATGCTAAATTGGTTTTCGTGCTTCTATCTTTCCCATTTGGAAAGGCTCTTCTGATAAAGACTATCAAAGCTTTATTTGTCCTGCCCTAGGAAGAATATAAGAAAAGGTAGTAGTTCCCAATCTGAAGATAGTTGGTAAGATGTAAGGCTTTGCCACTGTGTGAATCCCTGGACACACCACTGCAGTGGTTAGGACACAGAGAGTGATGTATGTACCCCATTCTTCAGTAATGTGTGGATGTTGGCAGTAGGACAAGGTGTTTGAAAACAGCAGTTCACTGTTCCATGGCTGAGATAGCTTTGAAATGGCTTGGAGGGACAGGAGAGGCAGATAGAAAATTTTGTATATAGAGCAGATTTCTGTTGTTTCTATTAAACCCAATAAACCTGTTCACACTGACATGAATTGTGAATCCCTAGGAGACTCATTGACATGAATCCCTAGGAGAAAAGGTATTCCTATTTATTTAATGGCATGAAATGCTTCCTTCAGGTATTTTTAAGTAGATTCCACTGAAAGCCATCAAAGTTGTTAAGGTTTATTTGATGCTCTTTCAATAAAGTAGCATGTCTTCTAATATCAAAAAGATGAAATTTTTTTTCTGTTTATTCTCTTGCTGCATGCAGTGTCTTGACTTATGCAGTCTGTGATGCTCTTGAAGCACATCTTGGACCGTATAAAACTTCAAGTGTATATTTGGTAAGCTTCTATACCACCTCTTTTTATGTCTTAAGGAAAACTGAAAAATCAGCAGACAGAAGGCGCTTGCAAAGACCTAAACCCAATTTGATGAGATCATCTGGAAGGAGGGAGACAGCAGCACAAGACAAAATGGAGTCTGAAGCTTCCTCTCCAAACCCTGAGAATACAGATGAAAAGGTCAGAGGGAGCCGTTAATATGTTATGTTCTTGATGCTGTTTTCATCAGGCGGATACTGTGGACCAGCTACAGTCTTATAAGTAGTATTTTAAGAAATGCTACTGAGGTATCTACACACTTCTCAAAGGGTAATATTTCTTGCCTCAATTCCAGTGCTCTGAGGAGGACAGTAGAAGAAGAAACAGAAATGAAGCCACAGAAGTGGAGAACAGAGATTTGGATAATGAATCTGAGTAAGTATTGAGATCACTTCTCCAGTCTCCTGGAATTAACTAAATATAATTGTTAATTTATTCTATACAATGCTCTTATGAAAAGACAACAATAGCGGTGAAGTTTTAATATAAATCTTAAAATTGACTTCAGCATTTTCTTGGATGATATCAGGTGGCACTGTGGCAGAAGGTATGTATTTCTTTTCTGGAAAGTTGAGGAAAGCATTACTTTATGAAGTACCAACTGTGCTTGGAATTTGAAAGGGGAAATTGTGGGAATTGATAACCATGGTTTTGCTTTCCTCCTAATCTCTGTTGTCAGCTAAAGGCTCTGCTTCTGATACTTGCAGAGGCAGATACAAGTATGCAGTCTAGGTAAGGTCCTACACTGTGTGAAAAATTAATCTCTTTTTAATAAGTAGATAAATTGAGTTTCCACACTCTGTAAGACTAAACAAAGTTTGTTTCTCATGTGAAGAAACTTGCCTAAATTTGGGCAAATCATTCTGAAGACAATCAGATTCCAGTAAAAAAAGCTGTGCAAGTTACTGAATATTACACAGGCTTGAATATTTTGTAGTAAATGTCACTGTTCTGGATCCTTTTTGCAGAGAACCTGAAAAAACTGCAGTTGTAAAGGCAGTACTTAGAGGATGTCGACAGAGATTTAAACCTAATATTACAAGAGCATCTGGAAGGAAAGAAGAGCCTGAAAAAGATGCAGGAAATGATAAAATGTCCCATCTACAGCTTAAGGGGGAAACTGAAAAGGTATTTAACAGAATAACATAACTAGAGATAATGTGTTAGCTAAAAAGCTGCTGGATGCAACAGTAATGTGATCTTTCTGGGGTTTTTCTTTTCTTTTTTCGCCTGTGCTGGTTTAAAGGTAAACCAGCAGGGGAAATGAACTCAACTCAAAAGAGAGATTATAAGTCAGAATAACAATTTAATAAAATAATACAATAAGTATGATTATACAGACAAACAATTGGTTTTAACCCACAATATATAACCCAGCACCCTGGGTCATGAACAGAGTGGTGTTCTTTGGGCCCCGAGTCCAAAGTAAAAGGAGAGGGGAAAACCTGTTGCAGTCTGGTTGAGAGTGGTGGCCTGCAGTCTTCCTCTGGATCCCACGAGTGGTTAAAAAGGTCCCAAGGCTCCAAGATTATATATCCTCCAGTTCAGGCAGGAATGCTCAGTACCTCCCTCAGGGTGGGGAGTTCCTTAATGGGTGTGAGGACAAAAGCAACATCCTATCTCACAGGCCTCTTAACACCTAGTTTATAGCCTGAGGAGTCAGGCTCTATGGACAGATAGTGTAAATGGTTCATTGATAACAGTTTCTGGGAAATGGCATGGAAGGCTATAGAATACACAGTTTTGGGTTACACCCATCCAGTGATGAACTGGTCTCAGCTGTCCTAACTAGGACATTGCCCCAGAGTATGACCAGGAATTAGCCACTTACTTAGCCTACAGTGACAGTGTGATATTGCTTAGAAACCTCTGCTATGCTGAAAGCTTGTTATGCAAACGGTGGATACCAATAATCTTTCATGTCCTACAGCAAATATAGCTTTAGTTGTTCAATCTGATTTTTACTGCACCTCTCTGACTATGAAATGTACCCTGTAATTGCATATGTCTGTCACAAGCGATTTGTTTTGTCTCTTGTTATTTACAGTTACTTGGTCAGTCAGGTAATGCTGGACTTTATAAATGTAAGAGCGTTAACATCATGATGTTCTATTTCTGTTTAGAATACTGACCAGAGTAATAGGTCTGATGTTACCAGTGAAGAAGCTGCAGAAAAAGATGACCAAGTCCTGGCGACAGTGTCTCAGTAAGTGTGAGAAAAATGAGGAGGTATGTGCTGCTCTCCAGCAATTTGCCATCCCTTGTGGTAGTACTTCACAGTGTGGTAATTATAGAAGTTTCTTCAAAAACTTCTGCAATGAGACAGAAATTGAGGGAAGAATAGGAATCTTTACTCATGCATGAAACATAGATTAAGCACTTTTGTTTTTAAAGTGGTGCTTTTAAACGAGAAGTCAGTCATGGTAAATGCGAAAAAACTTAAGTCTCTTGAAAACTAAAAGAAGCCTTCCGCTACTGGCTTTAATACTGAAATGCATCTGATTCAGTGGTTAAGTATTTAAACAATGGGAATAAGTGTTTGTTCTCAAAGTGTAGTTAAGTGTTAGGTGTCAGGTAGGATGAGAAAAAAAATCCAACATGTGGGTAATTTAAATGCACATATTTATTAAGTTTTGTGTTTTTTTTCAGTGGAGAATTGGCAGCTGTAGTGTAAAAGGAGGAATAGGTTTTACAGAAGAGATTGTAAGAAGTGAAATTTAAAAAAAAGCCAACTGCCCCTTCACCCCCAAAAAACCCAAACAAAAAACCCCAGAACAACCTAAAGCAACAACAGCAACAAAAAAAAACACACTCAAATTTTTGTTTTTAAAGAAAGATGATTGAAGAGGATGAAGAGAGATAAACTAGGTTTGATAATTAGTTCAAGAAGCTAGTAATACATTCTAGATCTGCGTATGTTAATAACTGTTTCTAAAAAAGAATGAAAAAGCCCCACTTCTCTAATTCTCCTCCCACTTTCAGACATGATATGTATTTCATGGATCTTACGTGTTTTTCCAGGTCTAATGAAACAGTGGGTTTACAAGAAGACAGCAAACGGAGTTTGCTGAATCCCGCCCCTCTAAGGAGAGGCAGAGTACAGAGACCAAAACCAAATCTAGGAAGAACTGTTGCAAGGCAAAAAGAACTGATAGATGAAAAAGATCCTGAAGAGAAGACAATTAAAGGTGGAGAAGTAGAAAAAGATATAATGCACCACAGAGATGAAAACAATGATCCCTGCCTCAAAAGTGTAAGTTTCTTGAGCAGTTGCTTAGGCACGCTGTTTTGCTGAGTCATTAGTAGAAGAATTTGGTAACAGAGATCTAGCTACATGCCACATAATTTGTAAGGACAGCCATTGCACGCTTTGTTTATTCTTTCAGCATAAACTAAATTGTCATAAAATTTCCTCGTGTTTGCACTTGGATTCTGTTTCCTATGGTGTTGGGTTTAACGCCAGTCAGGAACCAAGTTCCAGCTTGCTCACTCACTCCCCCACCAGCAGATCTTGGAGATAATTGGAGGGGATAAAGCTAGAGAACTCGTGGGCTAAGATAAAGACCTTCTGTTGGCAGGCAGGTGTTCAGCCATTCCCAGGAAAGCTGGGCTCCATTGTGTGTAACAGTTACTTGGGAAGACAAACGCCATTCCTCCCACTTTATACGCTGAGCATGATGTCATATGATCTGGAATATGCCTTTGGTCAGTCTCAGTCAGTTGTCCCAGCTGTGTCTCCTCCCAGCCTTCCATGCACCCCAATCCCCTCACCAGCCTGGCAGTATGAAAAGCAGAAAAGGTCTTGACTCTCTGTAAGCCCTGCTCAGCAATAACAAAAATGTCTCTATACTATCAGCACTGTTTTCAGCACAAATCCAAAGCACAGCCCCATACTAGCCACTCTGAAGAAAATCAACTCTACCTCAGGCAAACCAGCACTCACGGATAAATGGTTTATGTCTCCCTTTGTTGTATTCGTGATACTGGATCTGAAAAAAGAAGTGCAAAGAAAAAGGTCTCTTGGAAGATCAACCACTTCAGAAAGAAAATATAAAGAAAAATAACTTTTTACTTTTACAGTTATGTTCTGATACTAGTTGACTGACAATAAGAAAAATACATCTTAGTGTTTCTGTAAGAAGTCCTAAAACTTTTTCATTTTCCCCCTCCTCTCTTAAATGAGTGGTTAAGCAAATATTTCATCTTAATAGAGTGAAACTTTTATTCCTTTTAGAATTTGACAGTTCTTGAAGACACTCAGCCATGCACTGTGATGTTAGAAGGGGATGTTTCTACAGATTCTGAGATGAACTCAAAATCTACAAGACAGTGTTTCCAAGAAAAGTCCTCAGAAGCAGAAAGCTGTGAAAGTGAAAAGGGATTGTCAGATGCCTTGAAACAGGTTTCAGATTTCAATACAGGGTAAGGTTTTTTTTAAATGGAGAGAAAGGATGGGTCAAAGCCATCAGTATCCCTAGGTGTTCTACAATTTTATCAACTGCAGCATTACAAACAAGTTTTATATCTATAATGAGAAGTTTAATCAAGACAATACTAGACGTCAACAAACAAAACTCCAAGGGTTTGAAAGCACTAGGTTTGTATGCTGTTGGATGTTAATTTCATCTTTTAGACCATGGGCCTAATTTCCAAATAAATACATTTTTATGATGCCTAGTTCCTGTGGTCGTCTTCTCCATGTTGGTCTCAGCAGTGCATCCAAATGTGCTTATATAAATCCTTGAGTACAGGGTTTGGTTTCCTCTTAAAGTGTCCCTTAAAAAAAAAAAGGCAACTACAAGTGTTCTCTAAGTCTGCTCAGTAACATTAAACATGGTTAGACAAAGGCATTTGTAAAATATATATATATCCCCTGAAATGCCTCAACCTGTCTTCCAGGTCTCAACTGAAAATTGCAGTTGTTCTGAAACGGCACCTTTTCTTAACTTATCTTTACTCGTCTATTTATCAGATACACAAGCTTTTGCTGGTGATTGCTGTTTTTATTGGACCTTTTTTCATGTCAGTAACTTTGTTATTGCTCTGAGAGCTGCATACAAGTATGCCATGTTGTCCCATGCTTTTGATTGCTCTTCTGTTTGTTTTTGTAGGGAATCTCATCCTCAGAAGGAAGAGGAGAAAACTGTTTTATCATCAGCTCGGCTACTTAGGAGTCGATTCCAGAGACCAAAGCCAAATTTAAGAATGACAACTAATAGAAAAGAAGTGCTGGATATAAATAATAAAGGTGTATTACAAAAAGATATCAACAAGGAAGAAAGTTTGACAAATTGTGACAGTGAATGTAGTATCCTTCCTGACACAGATGTGAGGCTTTTTTTTTTTTGTTACGTTGTATTTGAGCCTTTGGGTTTGTGAAATGAAACACTGATGATTTAAAAAAATACAAAGTTAATAAATTTTGAAACAATTTTTTCAAAAGCTAAAATTTTGTACATTAAAACTTCTGTGCTTTTCACTTGGTTGTATGTGAAGAGAAAAAGATGAGTGTATCTCTCCTTATGTGTCCAAATGTCTTTCTGATCCAAGGTGGCTTTGTAGAGTTGACAGTGAAGAAAGAAAAGTATTAATACAAGTTGGCAAAGAAGGAATCTGGATTTGAAGCTATTTAAGTTTAAAATAAAAAAATGTGTATTTGTCCTGGAAAGATTAGGAAATGGTTAGTGAGCAGTTAGAGGAATTTTGCAGGAAACACTTTAGAGTGTGATTAGTACTCAACTTCATAGACATCGTAATGTCTGTGTTGGGTTTATTATCATGACTTGCTCTGGTTCTTGTGTTTTCATTTTTCAGAAAACAGGAAAATATGAAGTCCTAAAACCACTAGAACCCTTGGGAAAGGAGATGTCACTTCATGTTCAGGAGATTTCTGAGAGGCCAAGTTGTAAATCCCCAAAAACATCTTCAAGATCAGAGGATGGTGAACTTGAGTTGTGTCTACCTGATATTAACCAAGATGATATTTTAACTACTAACGCAGGGTAAGACCTTAGCTACTTTTGGTTCCTGACAGTAACAATGAAAGTATTTTAAAAGGAAATTACCAATGGATTCCTTAGTGGCAAAGATAATCTAATAAAAATACTGCACAAAGTTTGAGTTCTTACGGTTTTGACACTAGTGACAATTCCAGTAACAACTCCCAATCAATCCTGAAATTGTGCGGGATCTGCTACTTCATCTAGATCCTTAAAAATCTGTGGGGCCTGATGGGATTCTTTTAAAAACTCAGTGGTTTTATATGTAAAAATAGGGAACCTGCATTTGTTTCTGTAACATGGTTTTGTATTAAATTTCCTTTTTTTTTTTCCCCATCTAACTTTGCATTGATAGCAAAAATAGCACTGAAGAAGAAAGTAAACAAAAACCTCCTCCACACATCCAGTTAGTGCCGAGCAGTTTCCAGAGGTACAAGCCAAACGTGGTAAGAGCTGTTGGAAAGGAGTTAAAAGTATCAGAAAATGAAAAGAATAAAAAGCTTGAAGAAAAGCACTTAGTATTGCAAAAAGATGAGCTTGCCAGTACTGCCACTGTAAGTCTTAATAAGTGCTTTTGCCTTCAAAGTTGATTCAGAGTTGCGTGTTCTGCTTTATGAATTAAATTAGAACGTTTAAGTTGCACTCCCTGAAACTGAGACAATATACTAGTTGAAAAAAATTCCCAAACCCTGGCAAGTTGCATGTATACCCTTGCATGTATAAAAGCAGTGAAGTCTAAAAGTTTAACTATTATTTTTTTCTGTTACATGAGGATCTGATTTTGATTGGACTATGTGATAGTGAAAAGGTTTATGCATTCTTAATATAAACTCTACAACAAAAATGCATAACAATTAGCTTTTTTTGCTCATTTTATCTTTCCTGTTTGGATGAATCAAGTGTGTGTTTAGGAATTTAGTATACCACATAAAGTGATGGCAAAACATAGTTATTTTTATGAAAAAAAAAAGTTTTATCAATTTGATAGGTTTTGACTGGCTTCACCATTGCCTGATACTCCTTTACACAAGTAGGTTGAGTCATTCACCTACACTGTGTATCCCCACAGACATTTTACTAGGCACTGTAAAAGGGGTTGAAATCCTCAAAAACCATTATAGTACGATGAGTTCTCTGTAACCATTTTGTGGATTGCACATGAATCATGTCATGGATATAGGCCTATCTGTGTAGACTTGCCTCACATTTCAAACACAGCTAAGCTTTGTTGGAGTGACTCATTTTTTGGAGTGGTTATAGCTGGTTTTGTTCTTGAACCTGTGTGGAGTACTTGTGTGGTGCATAGGAGCACAGGTGTGCTACGTCTGTCGTCTCCCCGTCAGTGCCACAGTGTTGGCTCACCCCTCGCTGAGAATAGTTCCTTGTGGTTCAGCTTTGGCTGTTCTAACCTGTGAACCACGCAAGTGCATCTGCTCTGTGCTGGGCAAGTCTGTAGAAACAGAGTGGGTCTGATGCTCCTCTTTACAAATAAAGCTGTTACAGACCTGGTGTGGTGAAGGATATGTTTCACTGGCTTCTTTGTGGAACCAGTGTGGCAAATACAGAAGTAAAGCTTCATAAGGCTTTCTGAATCTGAGCTCATGGTGTTGTGGCTCAGGTGTGTCTGTGCTGCAGTGTCCAGTTTTCAAAGGTTTTACATTTGCTGAAGTATTTTGTTTCCACGGTGCTTTATGTAATAGAGAGTTGATTGAATGCTGAAAGGACAAGTGTTACCCTTAATATGTGGGTGCATATTGTATTTAAGAGCTTAACTCTGGGTAGCCCAGAACTACAAAGACTTCTGTTATTTCTTGCCTATAAATTGAATTATGATAGCATGATTCTTATCTTTATTCTAATTGAGAAAATAGTGCAGTTTATATTTTTGTATATAAAATATATCTGTTTTAGAAGCTTACTTGTTCCTATTTCTCTTCATGCTTCTTTTACTGTAAATCAAAGGATGAAAATGAAGCTGTATTGTGTCAAGCAGATGTATTGAGCAGAAAGGAACAGGAACAGCAAGAGGTGCCTCAGGTGCCCTCTATTTCTGGAAACATTTTATGTGAACAAAGCAGGTGAGGTTTGAGTTTAGCGAAATTACATTTGAAAGGCTTTCTTGTCGTGCATAATGAGACACCTTTGAAATGTCAGTTCTCTTGTTCCTTGTTTTTTTGTCTTTCCCCAAAGTTTAATTTTCAATTAAACTTTAAGCTTCTTTCAGTGTTTTCAGAGCACATTTTTTTTTGAGCTGAACTACTTGTCATTGTTTATCCGGTACATACTTGATCTGTAGGACCTCATAGCTCTTCCTGACCAAGCATTTTGATTACTGGATTTGTATTTGCAAAAGTAGCAATCATACGGGTAACACATACAAATTTTGCAAAATATCAGAAACTTATCTTTCACTCATCCCAGTGTGCTCTTCTGTTTTACTACTGCTCTTGTTAAAATAAGATCTGAAGTGTGTCTTAGACTGCAGATACTTTGATGTTGGTATGGTTAGCAAAACAACTTATTTCTTAATGTTAAAAATGCCTTGAGAAAGAAATTCTGTTATTCCTTCTCCAGCTTAACCATAGGTGAGAAATATATATTTGAAAATACAATTTTATTGATCTTAAACAAAGCAGTCCATCAATCTCTAACCCTCTCGTATAAGTGTTGATTCAAAATTTAATAAGTGCAGAAGTGCTTTTTTCCCCTCCTAGCCAAAGTCAAGTGACATAATTTTTGTGTGTGTTTTTTTTCTGTTTTGGTTTTGTTTTGTTTCTTTGCTTTAAATTCACCAGTGCTGAAAAATCTACCTCCCAAGAAGGCAAGCTGGGTTCTCAGAAACCAGGACAACTCACAAGGCTTGAAGCTCTAAGAACTGGACCAAACCTGGAAGAAACATATAGCAAAAAAGAACCTCCAGTAGCACAAAAACTTGCTTCTCCAGATGAGGAAGAAATGAATAAAGGAGAAAAACTGTCTGTGGCAGAAGAATCAGAAAAACCTCTCTCAACAGTGAGAATTCTATTCATATATTTCTGGCTTTACTTTCTGATGCTTGGCTCCACACCAGCTGGTTTTTTTTGACATCTAAATGAGTTGTTGTAAATGCAGCCATTAATTTTGGACTAGTGAGAATTCTTGTTCAATATTTACACCCTAATATGAGGTGTTCCAAAATCCTGTCAGTGACTCACAGATAAGATATCTAAAGACTTCACTTAAACTTTGACATTTCAGTCATATTCTTGATACATGAATAGGTACCTACCTGCCATATTTCTGTTGCTGGGTTTCTTCTGAGCTCCTTTATGACTGCTCATGAAAGACTGCACTGGTCATAGTATCTATTTTTATTAGTTAAATACCTTCCCTAGAAGAATAAGCAACAGTGATGGTGCCATAAACTACTTGAAAGCTTTTAAACAAAGTTTTGTCTAAGGTTAACAGCTCAATCATAATTTGCAATGCTAATATTGTTGTTGTTTTTTCTAATCTAAGGATGACATGGAAGTATTGTTTGTGGGAGATTTGGCCAAGAATGACAATCTAGACATAAATTCAAGATGTATGAAGTCAGAAATGCTCTGTTCTTCTAAAAAGCCACCAAACGACCACAACAACGGAGGGCAAGAAGAGTGTCCATCTACAGATGCTATGGGAAGCATTCTGAGTGCCACAGAAAGGTAGAGTTCCCTTTTGGCAAAGTATAAAAGCTCTTGTCCTGGTTTCATCTGGGATAGAGCTCATTTTCCCTTAGTAGCTGGTGCAGTGCTGTGTTTGGATTTAGTGTGAGAACGATGTTGATAACACACTGATGTTTTAGTTGTTGCTGAGCAGTGTTTACCCTGACTTTTCAGCTTCCCAATGCTCTGCCAGTGAGCAGGTGTACAGGCAGTGGGGAGGCAGCACAGCCAGGACAGCTGATCTGAACTGGCCAAAGGAATATTCCATACCATAGGACATCAAGCTCAGTATATAAACTAGGGGAAGGTGGCCAGGGGCTGCTGATTGCTGCTTGGGCATGGTCTGGGCATCAGTCAGCAAGTAGTGGGCAATTGTGTATCACTTGTTTCTCTTGGTTTTATTCCTCTGTCTGACTCTATCTTTCATTATTTTATATTTTATTTTGTTTCAGTTATTAAAGTGTTCTTATCTAATCCCACAAGGCTTACTTTTGCTTTTCAGCTCTCCTCCCCACCAGAGCTGGGGAGTGACCGACTGCATCGTACTTACTTGCCGGCTGGGGTTAAACCACAACAGTCCTTTAAAAAGTTTGTCCATTTGTCCAGTTGTTTCCATACAGCACTTGCTTTTGGAAGTATAGACTCTGAGCTGTACTAGTCGTTATATACTATGTGCTGTGAAAGTCACTAGGTGGCATCCTTAAGTAATATAAGAATTTTAACAGAATTTACTCAAGGCTGTTTTCCTTTTTAGAAGGTACTTTGCAGATGAGGGTAGAAGCAAGTAATCATACTTTAGCTGTCTGAATTTCTCAGTAATAGATTCTTAGGGTACAGTGCACTTTGAATGTGGACCAAAGACTGAGCAGTGCCCTTTGCACTCACTTATAATTGAGAAATGGCAAGTAGAGAAACATAAAATGAGCTTGCTGTCTAAGATGTATTCAGAGTCTCTTCAGTTTTTCTTTGAATTAGAAGTTCCTGCAATGATGTGCAGTCATCGAGAGAGGGTCCCCAACTCTCTTGGTGGAGGGGATGGTTTTTATGTATGTGCAATACAAGGCAGATAGATAGTGCCATTTACATGTAACAGTTCTGAGTTGTGCTATAAGGTACCTTTTGTTCGATCTAAACTAATGCAGAGCAGTCTCAAATCAATTCACTTTTGCTTTTCTCTAAAATTAGCTTCTGGTTCTCACCTGTGTCTGAAACTCTGCTTAAAATCTCTTCTGTAACTTACATTGAAATCATATCCCAGTCTTTGTGCTAACAAGACAAGGGTTTTACTTTACAGTCTTTGTGGCTTCTGTGATGGTGGAATTTCACAGACTCCCATAGTTCAACCCATAGTAGTTGAGGTTGGAAGGGTCTGCTAGAGGTCTTCTGGTACAACTCTCTTGGTCGAGCAGGGCCACCTGGAGCTGGTTGCCCAATGCCCTACGTCCACACAGCTTTTCAATATTGCCAAAGCTGGAGACTCCCCTGTCTCTCTGGGCAGCCTGTGCCAGGGCTTAGTACCCCTCACAGTGGAAAGGTATTTTCTGATCCTCAGAAGGAACCTCCTTCTCTTCTATTTTTTGCCCATTGTCTCTTTTGTCTCTTGTTCTGGCACTGGGCACCACCAGAAAAAGCCTGGGTCTGTTGTGTTCACATCCTCCCTTTAGGTTTTTATGTAGCTATTGAAGATCCCCCTGAGCCTTCTTTCTAGGCTGAGCCATTCCTGCTCTTTCAGCCTTTCATTTTACAAGAAATGCTTCAATCCCTTTGCCATCTTTAAGACCCTTGGACAGGCTGTGTCCAGTATGTCCGTGTCTCTCCTACCAGGGAGCCCAGAACTGGTCAATACGCCAGGAAACGCTTCTCCTAATGCAGCCCAGCTGTTTTTTCAACTCTGAGGCTACCAAGACCCCCAGGTTCTTTTCTGCAAAGCTGCTTTCCACCTGCTTGGCTTGCAGCATGTGCTTCTGCCTTGGGTTGTTCCTCCCCAGGGGAAGGACTTGGCATCTCCCCTTGTCGAACTTCCTGAGGTTCCTGTCGGCCCCTATCTCCAGCCTTTCCAGGTCCCTCTGGATGCCAGCACACTCTCCCGGTGTCTCAGCAATTCTTTCCAGCTCTGCCTCATCTGTAGACTTGCTGAGGTTACACCCAGCCCCATCCTCCAGATGATTTAGGGCGGTGTTGAACAGGATTTGACACAGATTTGACCCACAGGGTACACTCCTAGTTACTGGTCTCCAACTGGATTTTGTACCATTGTTCATAAACCTCTGAACCCAACAATTCAGACAGTTTTTAGTGCACTTCCTTGTCTGCTCATCCAGCCCATGGTTCATCAGCTCCCTTACAAGAGGATGTTAGGGGAGACAGACAGTGTTAGAAGCCTTACTGAAGTCAGGGTAGACACTCTTTACTGCTCTCCCTTCATTTATCAAGGCAGTCATTTCATTGTAAAAGGTTATCAAGTTGGTTAAGCGTGACTTCCCCATTGTGAATTCATGGTGACTACTCCAATCACCTTGTTTTTTTCATGTGTGTGGAAGTAGTTTCCAGGTTTAGTTGTTCCATCACTTTTCCAGGGACTGAGATGAGGCTGACTAGACTGTAGTTCCCTGGATTCTCCTTCTTGCCTCTTTCCAAGTCTTGAGTTTAGAAGCCCAAGATTTCTATCTTACTGAGCTGAATGTGCTTGAAAAGATGTAAGAATATTGTCCTCTTTGAAAGCAGTAGAGCCTTGAGCACTGGAATTACTGAATATTAATGTTTCTCTGGCTGCTTAATTTTGGAAACCTATGTTGGTATAGCTGAAATTTTCTACTCTACCTTAATGTAGAGTATTTCTTAGTGTTGTTTTCCTTCCAAAAATTTTTCCCAAAAGCAATCAGAAAAGTTCATTGCTGCAGAGGAATTACCTCCTTTTTGCAGTGTTTTTTTTCCTCCTTTGTGTTTATTTAAACTTAATCAACTAAACAAATAAATATTCAGAAAACAATTTCATTTCTAGCTGGAAGTCTTAAATTTTGGATAGTAAGCAAGCTTGTAGAGTGTATTTTGTAGTTCCTCAGTAGTAAAAGTTGAAACATATTTTTGTAGGTCCAATGATGAATTAAGTTCTGGAGAAGAAAGTGAACAGAGAGCAAGGGAACTCCACGGGATCCCAAGGTCAAACAGAATGAGACTTACTAGAAAAAGGGATTATCCCAAAGAAAGTGAAAACAAAGAAGAGGGCAACACTGAGAACAGAAATGAAGAAGAATGTTTGCTGTTATTAAAAACAGATGTATCAATGGTAAGTCTTCATCACATGTTTTGAGCCAATTATACATCAATTCTTTTGCTTAAGTTCTCAGAACCATAGATGGCACAGAAATCCAGTATATTGCTGG